AGCCCTTGCCGTTAGCCCCGAACCCAGCCTGTGCCCGTCAGGGTGACTGGTCTGAATTGAGATGGACTGTGAGCATAGAACGCACACTGGTTTTGAAGACTTAGAATGAACAAAAGAATGTAAAATATATCAATTCTTAAATCATTACATGAAATGACAATGTTTTTGACATACTGGGTTAAGTAAAATATCACAACTTAAGTGGTTTCTCGTAACAGTAAATAGGCAAATTTGAGTATTAAAGAGGTCTAAGAAGAAATCACAAAGCTTTTATTTCTTCAGATGTTCCATACACAAACAATATATTAAAGAATTAGATCATTTTAGTATTCTGGTTATGTTTTTTAAAAAGTCTTTATCCCTTAAAGATATAGACAAAAATATATAAGGATAAAATGATGTGACATCTGGGATTTTCTTCAGAATAAACCAGGGAGTAGATGAAACAAAAATGGCTCTAAGTGGATAATTATTGATAGTAGTTAGATGGGAATTAGTTATCCGTTTTTTCTACCTTTGTACATATTTTAGATATTCCATAGTAAAGTTTGAAAAGATCACAAAGATAGCAGAAAATAGTTTTATTATTTGGCATATTTAAAAACATAGCATTTAACATTAACTCCCGATATGTTGAATTTCTTAGGGAGTTACCTACTAAATCTATTTCATGAGGTCAGTTTACAATGTGTTTTGTAAAATTTTTTAAAATATATTTTTATTGATTTCAGAGGGGAAGGGAAAGGAGGAGAGATATTAACATCAGGGATGAGAGGGAATCATTGATTGGCTGCCTCCTGCATGCCCCCTATTGAGGACCGAGCCCACAACCTGGGCATGAGCCCTTGACCAGAAGAGAACCCAGGACCTTTGAGTTCATAGGCTGATGCTCTAGCCACTGAGCCAAACCAGCCAGGGCAAGATCAGTTTACAATTTAACCCACTTTATTCTCTTTGTAATGGTCAGATGCTTTAACACAACCACTCTCCCCTGCTCCCCTGACACTGTCGTTGCTCACTTCCATGCACATTGTTGGTCAGGTGTGGTTCAGCAGGTGAGCGTGGACTTGTGAGCCAGGAGGCTGGGGTTTAATTCCTGGTCAGGGCACATGCCTGAAGTGCAGGCTCAAACCCCGTTGGGGGCAAGCAGGAGGCAACCAATCGATGGTTCGCTCTCATCATTGATGTTTCCATCTCTCTCTCTCTCTCTCTCTCTCTCTCCCTTCCTCTCTCTGAAATCAATAAAAAAATAAAATAAAAATAGGTGATTCATCACTAAAAGATGTATTTTCCCTCTTTTAAAAAGCAAATATTGTAAACTACAGACATTATGCATCTCACTCTTCATTCTGTGGATATACCAAATGTATTTTGCCACTCCCTTACTGCTGGACATTTGTTTTGATAGTATTTTGCACAACTTACTCCAAAATTATGTGACCTTATGTATATCTTTTTCAGTGATTTAAAAAAAAGAAAAGAAAAAAAAAAAAATATATATATATATATATATATATATATATATTGATTTCAGAGAGAAAGGGAGAGAGAGAGATAGAAATATCAATGATGAGAGAGAATCATTGATTGGCACGACCCCCACTGGGGACCCAGCCCACAACTGGGGCACGTGCCCTTGACCATAATCGAACCCGGGACCCTTCAGTCCACAGGCTGATGCTCTATCCACTGAGCCAAACCAGCCACGGCTCAGTGATTCTTAAACCCTTTTTGGGGTGGGGTTTGTCTATAAACTTTGTTGAGTAACTGTATTGTTTATATTTCAGGTTGCTCTTCTATTATTAGAAAAAGAAGTATTAGATAAGAATGATATGGTTGAACTTTTGGGCCCCAGACCATTTGCGGAAAAATCTACCTATGAAGAATTTGTGGAAGGCACTGGCAGCTTGGATGAGGACACTTCGCTTCCAGAGGGCCTGAAGGACTGGAACAAAGACCGGGAAAAGGAGAAAGAGGTGTCTCCAGAGGAGAAAATCGCCAATCAGATCCGAGGAGGGAGGCCGTTTTAGCTTGTGTTGTGGGTTCAGTTTGCACGTTATTTCAACTCTGGCTTTCTCAGAAGAATGAGAACACTGCTAAGTTGATCTTAACCAGCGCTGACCAGTTGAAGTGGTGGGGAGAGGAGTACTTAATCCTCAGCTTCAGCAGTCCCAGTAGGGGTGGCGGGGTGATTTCCCCAGGCCCTGGGCTCTTGGACAGCGTCTGGGAGAGTAGAGCTTGGTGCCCAGCACTGGTCCCGCTCCACCGCCAGTGAAGCCAGCAGAACATGTCAGGGGGAGAATGGAAAGCTTGCCAGCGTGGGAGAGGCCTGTATTTCACTTTCCATCGCCCCACCCTTCATTCCCATTTCCCTGCAGAGGCTGTGAAATTAAATTGGATTCCTGATAAGAATATTTAAATTTGACTAATACTTTGAAGATTGAATCCAGACTACATGTTGCCGTTTTACTGGGATGATTTTCTACAGAGAGCTGTAACATATTAAAAAAATATGAATGTATTATGTAAATACGGCTTCTTTACATCAGAAATAAAGTGTAAACATTTTAATTTTTTCTCCTGACCACACAGAGGGCCACTGTTCATGCTTGGGATACTTTCTTTTAGTCTCTGGTTCTCATCTGCTCGCACGTGAGGATGAGGAACTTCTAGGTTTGTGTGTCCTGGAATGATGAATTCTGGTACCAGCTCAGTCAGGGTGAGAATCTGTGACTTACACCCTTACTAGACCAGTCATGACCACGTGTTGGTCACACTGTCTGGGACTGGGAGTTGGTGTGTCATAGCAGGTGTGGCAGGCTGTCCAAGCCATCACCTGGACTTCAGAGAAGAGCAGTGACAATAAGCTAGAGAGGCCCCTGTTTCCTGGATCTTCCATGACTCGCCTGCTCTGAATGGTAAGCTGTGGCCATTACTATTGGAAGGGTGTGTGGGTCCAGAAAAGTGGAGGTCTGCAATATTGCAAACGTAGATGGACTATGCATGAAGATGGACTAAACCTTACAAAGCCACTATTTGGATTTGTAAGTACCATGCATTTTTGCATTTATTAATACATATTTTTAGCAGCTCCCTTTACTGTTGTTCCACTTGCCTTGTGTATCCTTGATGTAGTTACGTTGTGGGAATGGTGACTCCTCAGACTTAAGACAGAATCAGTGGCATCTGGAGCAGCACTGGGCTGATGGGACGGGAGGTGGCTCAGGCAGTGACCTGCAGAAGCCACACTGACGGCCCTCTTTCCTCAGGGGGTACTTGTGGGAAGTAGCTGAGTGAAGAATTGTTTTGAGGCTGTAGGAGGATTCAGCCATCAGGGTGTTTAGGGTGCTGTCTTCCACATAAGCAGTGACGAGATGTTCAGGATTCTCCTCTTCCCACTGAAAGAGGCGCGTGTGCTGTTCTGTCTGGGCGGAATGAAGGGTGTGCCAAGCATGAGTCCTGTTTGATTCAGTAAGAAAACTGACAAAGCTGTGTGGGAGACTCAGATGGTAACCCACAACTCCTGCAGCCCCAGCGGGACTCGGCTGCACGGAGTGGCCAGTCACACCTGCACTCTAGGCACTGTACTGAGCGTTACCTACGTTGGGGCCTAACTAGAGCCTGGCCCACAGCAGGTGCTCGGAGGAAATCAAACCTAGCACATTTCCAGGTTAGATGGGAATGGTAAGGTGTATTTTTACTGTAGTCACAAAATAGTTCAGACTTAGGCAAAAAAGATCTGTTATCACCTCAGTTCAAGTCATGCTGTCTACTCCAGTCTGGGGCTGCCTGCCCGTGTGCTCAGTGGTTGACATTGACCCATGAACCAAGAGGTCACTGGTTTCGATTTTAGTCAGGGCACATGCCTGGGTTTTGAGCTGGATCTCCAGTGGGGGGCATGCAGGATATATCTCATCAATTGTTTCTATCTATCCTTCTCCTCTCTAAAAATAAACATTTTTTAAAAAAAAGGCTAGGGCTGCCCCGGCCAGTTTGGCTCAGTGGATAGTGTTGGCCCATAGTCTGAAGGGTCCCGGCTTCAATTCCAGTCAAGGGCGTATACCTCGGTTGCAGGCAGGAGGGAACCAATCAATGTATCTCTGTCACATCGATGTTTCTCCTCTGTCCCCCTCTCTCTAAAAAATCAATGGAAATATATCCTCGGGTGAGGATTAACAACAAAAAAATTGCTTACAGCTAGTGGGTGTGAGCCATGGCATCACAGCACCAGGCGGGGCTAGGTCACACTGAGGTGGCCCTAGATCTCAGTGACTCCAAATGGCAAAGACTCACTTCTCTTCCTTCTTGTCCAACAGTTACCGATGGAGAAGCTGGGTTACCTTTACAGGAGGAATCAGGATCCCCCACGTAGGAGTCAGAGCAGACGGCCAAGCACTAACATTTGCTTCACTTTCTTTTGGCTAAAGCACAATCACTGGTTCACAGCTAACTGGCAGTGCTGGCCAATTACTAGTAAAACTAGCCTGGTCCTGCCCTGTGGGAATTTGACTTTACAAGACCTGTTACAGAAGTTGTGGCTAGTTTACAGGAACCATAAAGTGATCATTTATTACACAGACAAGAGCCTTCACCTCTGTGCTGGGCCAGGCTGCTGGCCTGGGTTCCTGCTCTGAGACCCCTCCCACCCGGTGCCCCTCACCCACCGAGAGCCAGCTGGAGCCTGAAGGTAATCAGTGGCTCCTCTGGCAAATGTGAGCAGCGGAGTTGTTAGGGAAGGCTGGGACCCACTAGCCCAGGGAGATGAAAGTTCTGTGGGCGGTCTGAATGCTGTTGCGCACGGGGCTGATGGCTTTTCTTTATGCGCGCACAGCCTGGGAGTCAGAATTCTGGCTCCCACCGCAAAGCCTGCATTCAAGAAGAGCCTCTTTCAGTGAACGGCAGGGGCAGGTCACCCAGGGCAGACTAGAGATCTGTGCAACCATCGTGAAGATGCCAAGTAACAAATCTATCACATAAGCAAAGGCTGGGAGAGACGAAGGAACAGTTTTAGTGTTTTATTACGAACAAGCTGTTTCAAAGGTTCAATATTGCATATTCAAGATAAGGCAACACGGCACAGCTTCAATTCACAAAGGATGAAAAAATACTGTTTCTAACTTCCCTGCTAATTCTCAGACATGGTTGAACACTTGATAGAAGGTGAGGTTTATTCACTTAGCCCTTAACTGATGGCCCATAAGTTCTTTTAAGTCCTCCAGTAGAAAATGTCCCTCATCTGATCTGAATGGGGAGGACTGCCAATTCTCTGCTATTTTAATGTACTTTCTTTGTTCTAGATGACCGAGAGTACAATTTTATTGCATTTGGGAGGGGCCTGCACCCATATATTTAGGCCAGTGCATCATTGAACAGCCATTGCAGTTAAGACACATCTGAGTTAAAGCAAGAAAGTCTGAATTGTCGTATGTGAGACAGGGGCGCGCCTCTATTCGTTGATCTCCTCTTCGTCGTCTTCGAAAGCTTCTTCACCATCGTTGGCCGTAGCTTCTTGATATTGCTGGTACTCAGACACCAGGTCGTTCATGTTGCTCTCCGCTTCTGTGAACTCCATCTCATCCATGCCCTCGCCCGTGAACCAGTGCAGGAAGGCCTTCCGGCGGAACATGGCAGAAAACTGCTCCGAGATGCGCTTGAACAGCTCCTGGATGGCCGTGCTGTTGCCGATGAAGGTGGAGGCCATCTTGAGGCCCCGGGGAGGGATGTCGCACACGGCCACCTTGACGTTGTTGGGGATCCACTCCACGAAGTAGCTGCTGTTCTTGTTCTGGATGGCCAGCATCTGCTCGTCCACCTCCTTCATGGACATGGGGCCCCGGAAGACGGTGGCCACGGTCAGGTAGCGCCCATGTCTTGGATCACAGGCCGCCATCATATTCTTGGCATCGAACATTTGTTGAGTCAGTTCGGGCACTGTCAGGGCCCGGTACTGCTGGCTGCCTCTGGCCGTCAGGGGGGCAAAGCCGGGCATGAAGAAGTGAAGGCGGGGGAAAGGGACCATGTTCACCGCAAGCTTGCGGAGGTCAGCATTGAGCTGGCCCGGGAAGCGTAGCGAGGTGGTGACCCCACTCATGGTGGCCGACACCAGGTGGTTGAGGTCCCCATAGGTGGGCGTGGTCAGCTTCAGGGTGCGGAAGCAGATGTCGTACAGGGCCTCGTTGTCGATGCAGTAGGTCTCATCCGTGTTCTCCACCAGCTGGTGGACTGACAAGGTGGCATTGTAGGGCTCCACCACCGTGTCCGAGACCTTGGGGGAGGGCATGACGCTGAAGGTGTTCATGATCCTGTCGGGATACTCCTCCCGGATTTTGCTGATGAGCAGCGTGCCCATGCCTGACCCTGTGCCCCCTCCCAGGGAGTGGGTCAGCTGGAAGCCCTGCAGGCAGTCACAGTGCTCACACTCTTTCCTCACCACGTCGAGCACCGAATCCACCAGCTCTGCTCCTTCTGTGTAATGCCCCTTTGCCCAGTTGTTTCCGGCACCAGTTTGTCCTGGAATAAGCAAAAGAGTAGCACACCATTTAGATAGGGCAAGACAGGCCCTAACTGGTTTGGCTTAGTTGGTTGGCGCATCCTCCCATATACCCATATACTGCAAGGTTGCAGGTTTGATTCCCAGTCAGGGCACATACCTAGGTTGTGGGTTTGATCCCCATTTGGGGCACATATGGGAGGCAACTGATGGATGTTTCTCTCTCACATCACTGTTTTTCTCTCTCTCAAATTGATAAGCATTCGCTTGGGTGAGGATAAAAAGAAATATAATAAATAAATAGGGCAAGACCATAGGACCCACTCATTGATATTGATACATTTTAAATGGTGATGGAAAAGATGTATTATCGGTTAGATAATATGGTGTTGGCCAAAGTCAGCAGGTGGGTAAACAGGCACCACCAATATTGCTGGTGAGTACACGTGTTAGTACCTCTTTAGACAAGTTAAATACTCGTCAATTTTTAAAAAATATTCTTTTATTGATTTCGGAAAGGAACGGCGATGGAGAGAGACAGAAACATCAATGATGAGAGAGAATCATCGATCGGCTGCCTCCTGCACACCCTACACTGGGGACTGAGCCCACAACCCGGGCATGTGCCCTGACCGGGCATTGAACCATGACCTCCTGGCTCATAGATTGACATAACCACTGAACCATGATGCCTGGGCACCCCCATCAATTTTTAAGATGGACATATGTTTTGACCAGGTAATATCCACTTATTCTCCAGAAGTTAACTTGAATTTTGCCAACACCCCGCTGGTGGCAAGAATTCACAACCACAGCCTGACGACCAGCTTCTCTGCTCTGTGTGGGCAGGTCCATGTCTGATGTTGCACACCACAGGGGAAACTGAGGTAGGCAGCAGTGACCCCACCAAGACTCCCCCTTGAGACCAGCCTGGTGCTGCATCAGCTAAGATGAGTAGATGGGAGGCTCTTGTGCACTTAGTCTTAGGGGGATGGGGGCCCCCTCACACTGACGTCTGCTGACCAGCACCCCTGGATTCTGTTCTCAAGTCCTTCATCGAGGGCGAATGAGTCGTCTTAAATGTCTGTATATCTTCCATAGCATTTATCAGTGCTAAGCACTGTGGCATTACTAGAAGTCTAAAACAACCCTAATCCTGTGATTCTTCAGTAATTTTTAAATGGACTACTAGTGACTTGTATCACATACAAAGGGATACCCTTCTAGAATATGCAAAGCCTTACAAATCAGCAAGGAAACCAACCGCCTTTAGGGAAATGGGCAAAGAATATAAATAGTTCATAGTGAAGGAAATGAAAATCACAAGTATTGACATATTCTTCATAAGGGAAATGCAAATTAAAACACGAAGATCCGATTTCTCCCCTATGGAATTGACAGAGGGGAAACAGTTCGATAACACTGGTTGGCAAGGGTTTGGGAAAGGCCCCTTCCTACACGGCAGCTGCTGGAGGCTTAAGAAAACGAGACTGTTTGGAGAATAATGGAGCAATATCTGTCAAATTAGTCCTCTTGGATTCAGCAATTCTACTTCTATCAATTTTCTTCAATAGATATACTCATGTGTGCAAAATGTCCCACAGACACATATTTCCTGAAGAGCAATTTGCAATAGTAAAGAAAAAGGGAAGCACCAAAGTGTCTTTTAAAAGAGGCTAGTTCCTATGCAAACACTATCAGCCATCGATCCTAGCACTGAGATGGGAACATTTTCTTAAGTATATTTATTCTAAGTGGATAAAACCCCGGAGTACTAAGTGGTGCATACAGTTGACAATCGTCTTATGTATGTAATGGCTATGTTCCTGCTGGGATGTGCACAGAATGTGACTGAAAGGACACGCACGAGTCTGAGAGTGGCTGCTCTGGGAAGGAGCCGGGGGCACCGGCGTGGGAAGGAAGGAGACCGCGTTCTCACTGAACACCCTGTGGTTCCTGTTGAATCCGGACCGTACACATTGTCTACCTGGCTAGCTAGCAAGAAGGAATGTTTTTAACTTTATTTAAGCATTTAAAAATGCCTTTTGGAAAGAAATTGGAGAAATACGCACTGAACTAATAAATGATTGTTTCTGAAGGAAGGGATTTTAGGCAGTTCAGTTTCAACATTATATACTGCTGATAAAAATTTAATTAAACATATATGTATTTTATGTTCATCAAAAGAAAATTATGGAAACCTGCCTTTAAGGAAAATTTTAAAGTGTCACCAATAAGTGGGGAGACACACAATGGATAGGCAGTGACCATCATGGGAGATGTCGGGGAGATGTTAATGAGCTTTTTTCAAAAGCTATAAAATAGTATGTGTAACACAATCCCATTTTCTTTTAAATATATTTTATTGATTTTTTTTTACAGAGAGGAAGGGAGAGGGATAGAGAGTCAGAAACATTGACGAGAGAGAAACATCGATCAGCTGCCTCCTGCACACTCCCCACTGGGGATGTGCCCACAACCAAGGTACATGCCCTTGACCAGAATCGAACCTGGGACCCTTCAGTCCCCAGGTCGACACTCTATCCAGTGAACCAAACTGGCCAGGGCCACAATCCCATTTTCAAGAAACTAAATCAAATGTGTGTGTGTGCGTGAGGTCGCGGGTACATGTATACATGGAAAAGATCAGGCAGGACACTCCTCCACTGTCTACAGCAGTGGTGCTCAACCTTCCTAATGCTGCCTTTAATACAGTTCCTCATGTTGTGACCCAACCATAAAATTGTTTTCGTTGCTACTTCATAACTGTAATTTTGCTACTGTTATGAATCGTAATGTAAATATCTGATATGCAGGATGTATTTTCATTGTTACAAATTGAACATAATTAAAGCATAGTGATTAATCACAAAAACAATATGTAATTATATATGTGTTTTCTGATGGTCTTAGGCAAACCCTGTGAAAGGGTCGTTCGACCCCCCCAAAGGGTCGCGGTCCACAGGTTGAGAACTGCTGGTCTACAGCATTCCGTTGTCCTCAGGGACTAAAATCTCGGGGGCCATCAGTGGAAGGATGGGGGGGTTTCTGTGTTTACACTACGTACTTGCTTATTGTTTGAAAAAATACATGTGGAGCCCAGCCGGCGTGGCTCAGTGGTTGAGCGTCGACCTATGAACCTGGCGGTCACAGTTTGATTCCTGGTCAGGCCATATGCTCTAGTTGCAGGCTCGATCCTCAATGTGGGGTGTGCAGAGAGAATCATCGACTGATCACTGATTCTCTCTCATCATTGATGTTTCTCTTTCTCCCTCTCCCTTCCTCACTGAAATCAATAAAAATATATTTAAAGGAGGGGAAAAAACCCATGTGGAAACAGTGTAACTTTGTAATGACAACATTAAATATGTTTAAATATTAAATAGTGAGGTTTAAAAAATAAATAAATAAATAAATAAATAAACAAACAGTGCGTTTTCCGGGAGGGCAGAACCGCCCATCGGAAACCACGGCTGTGCTGGTCTGGCCTCGCCCCACCTTACAAGTGAGGCCAGCCTCACTCCTGTGTTCTCTGCCCCATTTGGCTGGTCAAAGGCATCAAGGCTATTGGCATGACAGGACCTGTGGCTCACAGTAAACTGCAGATATTCTCTCTCTAATAATCAACTATAAAAACATTCCCTCCGGGCCGGCATCAGACCCTGTGGGCACTGACCACTTCAGCCCCTCAGGTGGTCATCACCTTGGCCAGAAGGTGACTGTGTTCTCTTTCTTCCCGCCCAGTTGGGTCGCACAGTGCAACTTGGCTGCCTCGAAAATGATCATTGTCCTTCCTATGCCCCTACTAACTCCTGTCTACCCCTCCCCACCCAACCCAGCAGCCGGCAGCCGGCCAGACCACAGCAGAGGCACTGGGAAGAACAAGCTCGGGGCACCTACTCAGGGCTAGCCTTGCGCCGGGGCTCACTCCTGTAAAAGCAAAGACTGAGTGTAATTGTTACGAAGAGACTAGGAATTATTTCCTTAAACTAGAGTAGAAACCGTAACTACTGTAAACAGTAACTAGTTTTTTAAAAACTGAAAATAAGCAGGTGGCGTTAGGCAGACAGAAGCCACAGTGAATCAAGCTCGCTCGAGTGGGCAGTGCAGCGATTCTGAACTGGACCCTTCCTCTTCCTGCAGCTCACACCACGCACGTGGCTCCCGCGGTGTTTATAACATGATGAGCCATAAGGTTTTCTCTGCTCTTGTCAGGAGGAAGCTGGTGAGTTCTGAAAATATTTTGCCACTGTCTCATAGCAACAGACGTTCCCAGTTAAATATTTGGGGGTCATGAGTTGAACATCTTCTGTAATGCAATGTTGTGACATTAATCAGCGGCTCCGGGGTGTAGAGCACAAGGCTGCAATCTCGCAGCTTGGCAGTCGGGCTGCAACAGATCCCCTGGGTGTCCTCGGGGTCCGCCCTCTGGTGCACCTCCAGAGCTCACACCGTGAGTGTGTGTGCTCTCTGACCCTCTCTAGCACCAAAATTTGAAGAAAAAAGTGCAAGTGCAGAAAGAGGCTTGAAGGACATTTCTCTCTGGTGTTTCGTTTCCCACTATCTAACAGTTATGATGGCTACGTAGCCAGCAATTCATTGGGAAAAAGTTGTTGTTTTTTTTTTAAAGTATTTTCATGTTTAAAACTCAAATGCAGACAAATTTTCACATTTAGAATTATACACACTTCAAGTCTATGTTTTAAAAAGAAAACATTTCAAACTATATTTGAAAATGGACTGATTTTGGCTTATTTTAACTTGCCACCTCGGAGACAGTGAGCTAGAAAGCCACTGGGGGATGAACCATCTCCCACTCACAGACAATCCTGCCTCTTTTATTACCTGTAAAATGCCCTGAAAACAGCTGTTCAGCCAAACAATATAGGATGTTCATACATTCTGGATGCCCCTCCCTTCCACAAATGTGCTATTTTAACAAAGTAAGCATACTCATTGAAACAATTCAAAATTCTTAAAGACAGGTATGCATGTTTTGGCAAGAAGCAAAAAAATAATCCTGGGGACAGTGTAAATGCCAAGCATCATTTCTAACATTTTTCAGTTTACAAGGATAGTAAGTTAGATAACTTAGATAATAGTTATTATAGGTCTCTCTTTTTTTAAAAATATATATATATTTTTATTGATTTTTTACAGAGAGGAAGGGAGAGGGACAGAGAGTTAGAAACATCGATGAGAGAGAAACATCGATCAGCTGCCTCCTGCACACCTCCCACTGGGGTTGTGCCCGCAACCAAGGTACATGCCCTTGACCGGAATCGAACCTGAGACCCTTCAGTCCGCAGGCCGACGCTCTATCCACCGAGCCAAACTGGTTTCGGCTATAGGTCTATCTTAATTTGTTCTTAAACATTTTGACCCCATTTATTGACACCTAGATAGCCGAGATCAAACCTTTCTTACACTTCAATATTCAGTTCAATCAAATAAAGCTTCCACAATTGCTAAATTTGCTGCCCTGAGAAACTAGCTTAACATGACGACTTCAATAGTCTGTGATAATTCAATTAGGTAAAAATTGGTCCTCGGTTTCGACTCTCTGAAACCTCAAATGCCCTGGCTGTGCAGGAGGGCTGCTGGGGGGAGCCTCACTCCTGAGCAGACATCTGGGCTGGGAGGGGCGAGAGGAAGGCAGAGAGGGTGCTTGGCCTCTGGCGTCCCACTAGCGACCTCGCCCAGAAAGCGCATCCACGGGCCCCATAGCCTCATCCGTGACGTTTCTTATGACAGATTGAAGGCATGTAAAAGGATATGAAGGGCACTGTAGTGGATATCTACTTACCTATCACCCACTTTAAGAAACAGAACATACCAATGTTGCCTGAAGCCCAGTAGAACATATATAAATTAGAACATCTTAAATTTAAACAATATAGAATACTTTTTTTCTCTGTTCTCTCCAACCTCCATGGGATCAGGGTTCACCGAGTTACATCTGAATCTTTGTGTTTTTATGTGTGAGTCCTGTTCATGTGCGCCTGGGGCCAATTAGGGTCTCTAGTTCAGTGAAAGGCAAAGAATATAAATGTCCCCACTTGTGAACAATAAAAATACTGGCAATTTAGGGTTTCTAATATAAGAAAAGGGGCACCAGAGTCCCGATCTATTTGAAATATTAAAAGTGAAAGAAAACTCTTGAACAAGTTATTATTAGAAGCTTCACCTGTCCCATTGGTTGTGTAGGTTGTCATGGTGATGAGAAGTGGATGGCATCCAGAGGATACAAAGTCTTTGTGAGCATTCATCTTCCCGAGAAGCCACTGCCTTGTCTTCTCCTAACAAGTCCGTGCCTGGTTCTGCTACAAGGTAATGAACTCTACACCAATAAAATCTCCCAGACTGTGTCCTCTTGTAGAGGCAGAATTGTCTACGAATGGGAAATGGCTCATCCCCCTGTGGCTTTCACTCTAAAACCTATGGCTACAGCGTGATGGAGGCTGGTAACACTAACGGTGCCACTTTGATTTTATTTAGTTCATTTATTATTTTTTAAAATATATTTTTGTTGATTTCAGAGAGGAAGGGAGAGGGAGACAGAGATAGAAATATCAATGATGAGAGAGAATCATTAATTGGCTGCCTCCTGCACGCCCCCTACTGGGGATGGAGCCCGCAAACCGGGCACATGCCCTTGATCAAACTCGAACCCGGGGCTCTTAAGCCCACAGCCCAACACTCTCTCCACTAAGCCAAACCAGCTAGGACAATTTATTTAATTTTATATAATTTTCTTTAGAAGTTTACAGAGAGTGGGTGCTATTATTATGTGTTTTGTTTTGTTTTTAGGTAGAGGAAGAGGGAGGATTTTCCCATTCTGCTAGAACAAACTCATATGGCACCAGTCTGTACAGAAAGAAAGCAGAACTGTCTATAGATACTGAGAAAGAAATATAGGCACAAACATACTGCAGTTAAAAGATGAGCAATATAGGATCCAAAAATAAGTTACTATTATCATATTATTATAATTTATGAAGGGGGAAAAAGTTAATGTCTAAAATTATTATTTTTTAAATAAAAAACTATCAGGATAAGCATTTCTTTTAGAAACACAGAGGTTACTTTCCTTAAAAAAAAAAAATCAAGAATTACAAGAGGTGCCTGTGATCAGTGTGGGGTCTGCTGATTTCCTGTGCCATGTGATGTTTTTAATCTTGCACACAAATCAGTTTTGATGTTTAAAAAGAAGCAGAGGGCAGGAAAGAGGGAACCTACCGAAGATGAAGTTGTCAGGCCGGAAGAGCTGCCCGAAAGGCCCGGACCGCACACTGTCCATGGTGCCAGGTTCCAAGTCCACCAGGGCGGCCCTGGGCACGTATTTCTGAGCTGGAAGAGAACAGAACCCACCCACCAGAGGTCATTTTCTGGTTTCTGAAGTAACAGACTTCCCCATAGCAAGTCCTACAGCTCAGCTGCCTGGAGCGTATGAGGCAGGGTTTCAGAGAGGGCACCTGGCTTTCGCAGAATCACAGACTCCAAGCACGGGGAGAACACAGTCCCACCCTGACTTGTTCGGACGAGGAAACCAGCCCAGGCAGGAACGGGCAGAGGAAGTTCCAGGAATACGCAGGGTGGGAAATCAAGTCTCCTGACTTCCTGCCTCCTGGATTTTCCGTTCACCCTAACACCTCTTCCTGCTGGGCAGTTTACGTTTTTAACCCCATGGAAATAAACCCTGTCTGTGGTGACAAATTGTGCTGTGCCCAGCCGGTGTGGCTCCATGTTTGAGCGTCCGCCCATGAACTAGGAGGTCACCGTTAGATTCCCAGTCAGGGCACATGCCCAGGCTTGGTCCCCAGTGTGGGGTGTGCAGGAGGCAGCAGATCAATGATTCTCATCACTGATGTTTCTCTCTCTCTCCCTTCCTCTCTGAACTCAGTAAAAATATATTTTTTTAAAAAATTGTTGTGCTGCCATGACATTCTTTGTGCTTTTTGGCACCTCTCTCAGGCATACATATACATGAACCCAAGCTACATTCCACGGGCCATTTTCCAAGAGACACTTGCATTTATGAATGAGTGCTGCTGTGCAGCGTTTTCATATGTAAGTACACTTTTGTGCCAGTTGGGCAAGAAATTGTTCCCAGTGAGGATGGGGTTAATAGAATCTGCTCTTCAACTCCTGGCCTGCTCTGCACACACCCAGACTGAAGAAGGCTGTAACTGAGCTGGACCTAAGGGTTAACAGGAAGTGCAACATGTACTGGAATTTCCCGTGATGCTATCTAGAAATTTCATCTTGGAGGCCCTACTTGCCCAGACCTTTTGTCATAGCTGCTTCATGAATAAAACGCAGCGAGTTACGTATCCTGCTCTTCTCAGCTTTTTTTTTTTTTTTAATATATTTTATTGATCTCTTACAGAGAGGAAGGGAGAGAGATAGTTAGAAACATCGATGAGAGAGAAACATCGATCAGCTGCCTCCTGCACATCTCCCACTGGGGATATGCCCACAACCCAGGTACATGCCCCTGACTGGAATCGAACCCAGGACCCTTCAGTCCGCAGGCCGACGCTCTATCCACTGAGCCAAACCGGTTTCGGCCTCTTCTCAGCTCTCATGTGGACAAGCAGTACAGGAATGCGAAACACTGAAAGTAATCATCGCTGGGAATATCGTGGGGAAGGGCAGTGTTTGTCATTTTCTGGGCCTTCTGTCAATGTCTTAGTTTTTTGTAGTTTTGAAGGGCATGTATCACTTTTATAATAAAAAAGAATTGTACAGAAATAACGTGCCCACGTAACTACAACACAGATGTGGGTATCCAGGACAGGGTTATTTCCAAACGGAGATAAACCGCAGCCTGGATTTTTCTCAAGTTCCAGCTTCCAGGGAGTGTAGTCTTTTTGGAGGTCTGCAAAGGGCCCGAAAAGTCAGTGAAGGGAGTGCTTTGCAAATTTTGAGCCAAGAATCTCCACTGAGAGATACATGTTAAACTGGAAAGAGGGGAAAAGCCGGACTTTACCCACGAAGTTGGTTTCACAACACTAACGGGTAGCCCGGTTCAAAAGCTCAGACCCGCGCGGAACTGGCTGTTCAAAACGCGCTGGCCGAGCTTCCCGCCCCGCGGGAGCGAGGGAGGAGCCGGGCATCCCGCGGAGCCCAGGGCGAGCTTTCCTACGGCAAACGGCCCTCCCGAGAGGGCGAGCCCCGCAGGACGCCGGGGGGAGGGGGGGGGGGCGGGGGAGGCCGGGGTCCCAGAGGCAGGATGGCCGCGGTCCAAGAAGGCGGTGGCCGGGGTCCGGGCAGAGTTGGCCGGGGTCCTAGAGGGGATGGCCGGGCGCCGGCGGGGAAGGGCGTGGTCGCGGAGGGGAGCGGACCAGGGTCCGAAGGCGGACCGTGGGCGGGGGGGCGGGGGGGGACGGACCGAGGGGGATGGCTGGGGTCCGGCAGGGAAGGGCGGGCCCCGAGGTGGGGGGCCCCGAGGTGGCGGGCCGCCCGCTACTCACAGGAGGACTCATTGTAGTACACGTTGATCCTCTCCAGCTGCAGCGCCGAGTCCCCCACGTAGCCTCCCGCCGGGTCGATGCCATGTTCATCGCTGATCACTTCCCAAAACTTCAGGCAGGACGGGGAGGGGGGGGCACAAGGTCAGAGCCCGGAGCCTGGCGCCCCCCCCGCGGCTACCCGGGGCCGGCATTCCAGGCGCGCCCCCGCCCCCGGCCGCCCCAGCGCGAGTGGGGAGGGGCCGGCGCCCGGGCTCGGAGGCCCCTCCAGGCAGCGCCCCCTCCAGCGCGTCCCCCGAGGACCCAGCGCCACGGCGCCCCCGGGCAGCTGCGCAGCCCGCACCGAGTCCCGCCCGGACACCCGGACGGCCAGCCGCCCCCGCAGGGAAGGTCCGCGCCCGCCCGCGCCCGCGCCGCCCACCTTGGTGCCGATCTGGTTCCCGCACTGGCCCGCCTGGATGTGCACGATCTCCCTCATGGCGGGCGCCGCTCTGCGCTCCGAGAGCTCGCTCTGTCGACTGCGGGCGGGCTGTGCGCTCGGGGACTCGACCCTCCTCCGCCCCCGACCCCCGCCTGAACCCCACCCCCACCCCGCCGCCGGGACCAATGGCGGCGGGCCTCGCCCTCCCGGCCGCGTCCCCTCCGCCCCGGGTCCGGCGCCTCCCTCCGCTCCTCCCCGCCCCGCTCCTCGTTCCCCGCCCGGCCTCCCTGCCCCGCCCCGGCGCCCCCCTTCGGCTCGCCCTCCCCCGGGCCAAGCTCCCGGGGCCCCCGCCCCTGCGCGGTCCTAGACGGGGGCCCTGGCGGGACAGCTGGGCCCCTCGGGGAGCCGGGCCGGGAAACGAGCGGGTCCTTCGTGGGAGGCGGAGGAAAGGACCGACGCCTGGGTCCCCCTGCACCCCCGCTGCTGCCTCGGTTGCCGGCCCGCCCGAGGGAGGCCGGAGACCCCTGGCGCCGGGGATCGGGACTGTGGTGTCCGAGTTCCCGCTGAGCCGACGCGGCGGGCGCGGCCCACGTTGGCCCCGGGAGGGGTTCCCGGCCCCCGCGCGCGCCCCGGGCTCAACCCCTGGCGTGGAAGGGCTTTGGGACACGAAGGGGGAGTGTTTCCTGGTGACTCTGACCCCGGGGACATCGCCGCGGCTTACGTCCTCGGGTCTTGCCCTCCGGGAGCCTTGCCGTCCCGAAATACAGGTACCACCCCGTTCTGCCGACTCCGGCCGTTTGCAACGGGGCTCAGGGTGAGTCCGCGGCTGGGTCTGGGCATGAACATTCCCGCTCGGCCGGCTAGGCCGGCTCTCCATCCGGAGTCGGCGATGAACGCCCTTTGCCCACCCCTCCCGGGGGCTCAGAGGTCTGGGCTCCGAGCCTCCCTAGTCCTAGCCCCGGGGCCTGCCTTTGCCGTTCGCAGGGAGGTGTGCGCTGAGTGTTGTTTGGGTAAGTGCAGCGCTGCAGGAGCGAGGACACGAGGACAGTTTAATCCTACACAACTTGTCTTTCCTGTCTCTCCTCCGGGGGCCACAGAAAGAGGGGGATTGATTCCCTGGGGACGTGGGGACCATTCTGCTCTGCAAAGCATGGCTCTGTATTTTTTTATATCATCATGCAGCCCTGACCTCTCTGAACTCCAGCCTTCCCAGTTCCCAGTGTTTGCTGGCAGGCATTCCAGCAAATAAGTAAAAGTTTCATTTTTAGTGGTTTGCATCCAGGTCCCGCTAGGTTCTGGCCCCCTCAGTGCTCAGGTGCCCCCCCCCCCCCTGCTCCCCCAGGTCTCCCCCAGGTGTGCGCCACCGCTCAGACACCCGGGACCCTCTCCGGCCCACTCCAGCCGCAGGGCTCACTCCCTGGGTGCTCCTGCAGCAAACCCTTAATGTACGGCAGGTGTAAACCATGGCTCCTCCTGGGCCTGCATTTGGTCCTTAGGGGCCAATAGTCCCTCTTCCGGGAGGTCTAATGTGGTAGAAAGGAATGGCCACTGGCTGGTGAGTCAGGGTGACTTGGACTTCAATCCCGGTCTGTTTCCAGTTAGCTCTGTGTTAAGTCATTTGAATTCTCTGGTCTTCAGTTTGCTCGTCTGTAAAATGAAAGGATTCCCTAAGGGACCTGGCTCTGTGGCACCTGCCGTCTGACTGTGCACCCCCTGAGGACTGCTGCACGCGTTTTCCCATGTGAACACTTCATGGAAGCCTCGGGCTGCACCCCTCCCAGGTCGAGAGTTCTGTGGTTTGCGCCAGCAGTTTCTTTTTAGAGACGCAAAACCTTTGGGGAAATCCTAAGGAGTGTGTGTATGGTCAGAAAGAGGTGGTGAACGTTTTTAAGAAATTTCTTTTGGAGTTTTTCAAACGTTTCCAATTTTAGGTACTAATCCTTTAGCCTTTGGGTGCCTGCCCCTGCCCCCCTCTGACTTCCTCTTTTCTGCCCTCTTGTAGGCCTGCATCTCTATACACTGGGAGCATCTCTATACACGGGAGCATCTCTATGCACGGGGAGCATCTCTGTGCACGGGGAGCATCTCTATGCACGGGGAGCATCTCTATACACCGGGAGCATCTCTATGCACCGGGAGCATCTCTATACACCGGGAGCATCTCTATGCACAGGGCGCTGGCAGGGAAGCAGGTGAGGCCAGAGCTCCACCCATGCGGCCCTGTCAGACCAGCTGCCTCCTTGGAGTACTCAGCACCCTGATTTAGACCGTTGCCATCACACAGTGTAATTATTGACTCCAAGTACATGCTCCCTTCATCTGTCTGCTGGTGTAGGGAGCCTGGGGAGTGGAGGGCCTCAGCTCTGCTTGCTCGGTTCCTGCAGAATCAAGCCACTAAGTAACAGCTTTGTGGTTTGTGAAATAGCCACCTTTTCAGTGAATTGTATGTTAGGTGAATAATATCTCAATAAAACTCTTTAAAAAAACCCTTCTGGAGGGATTTGAGGCTGTGGCACCCTGAGGGTTACTATAGCAACAATAAAACCCAAACCCAGTTCAACAACTGACTAGATTAACAAACTCTTATACTGACAAGAGAAGAGGCTTGCCCTCTCAATGGGCAGAGGGGTGCTGCAGCTGAGGCAAGACAGTAAGGGAAATCTTACGTCCCTCAGTCTCTACTGTGCTTCTCTACAAAAAGTCAAGGAAAACCCCCAGTCATTTTAAAGAGATAAAGCAAGCAGTAGAAGCAGACCCAGGCATGTTCCAGTATATAAAAAGTCAAATAAAAGACCGAGCTCATTTAAAAGAGTTAAAACAATCAGCAGAACCAGATTCAGGCATAGCCCAGATGTTGGAATCCTATATCATAAAAGCATAGTATGTAAATTGTCCCCTCAACCAGGAGCTCATCTAGAAGTTCAATCAGGGGGTAGGGCTGGCCAGGGGAAGGGAGGGAGGCCCCGGCCGGCAGCCGCTAGGGACCCTACCAGTGCACAAATTTCATGTACACGGCCTCTAGTTATTAGATAAGGGCTTTAAAATAACTATGATTAATATATTAAAGATCTAGTGGAACAGGTGAGCAACATACATGAAAAGATGAGGGATTTCATCTAAGAGAGAAACTAGGAAAAGCAGGGAATGAATTTTAGGAAGAAGACTGTGGCAGTGGGATGGAGGGGAGGAGACCACAAGGGAGGTTAGGACATTACTGCAGGAGGCAGCAGGGGCATTCTTATTCAGGGAGGGTGTTGTAATTACTTTGAGTTGCTGTCATGATAGCTTTATGAGAAGTAAGGCACAAACTACAGAAGTATGTTTCAAAATAGAATTAAAAGGGTACAATTCAGGCACTCCCATTCTAACAGCTGCCTGGTCCGTCTGGAGACACCATGCTCTGGCACACAACCCTTCCAGCACCCTGAATCACCTGCCTCCTTCTCCCTTGCACTACCACTCCCTTAAGCATTAAGCCCTCGGGACAATGAGGTTCTGATCAGCATCTAATAATCTTAGGAACAGAGCCTGGGCTCTGTTGAACACAGAGACATAGTAATGTAATGTTCAAACTAGAGGTAACATCTAGGCCTTAGTTGCGTTTCAGGTCCAGGCACAGAAAAGCAGCAAAACCAGACAAAATGATGGCATGGCTGACATCAGGACCAGATGCAATGACCAATGACCTCCTACCCTAGTACTGACCAGTCAGTAGAGACCACAATTCTGACCCAATATGCTCATTTTGATGAATCAGCATATTAAAGGACACACCTGGAAAGCTGATGACTATTCTGTTGAGATCCTCCTCTGAGACCCTCCATAAAATCCCTGCCTTTAGAAAACATAAAAACCCTTCAGACAGAGGGCCCAGTGGGTGCTCCCTCTCTAGAGCACGCCCATGCCTTCTTTCTTCAGGCATGTATCTTTGCTTTCTTCAGGCATGTATCTTTGCTTTCTTTCTCCTAAACTCTAAGGGTCCCCAAGACCAGGGGAGCAGTGGTCAGTGGCAGCTCGTTCCAGGCTAACCCCCTGAACCTGTCTCGAAGGGCCCTTCTTTTGTCTCTGTAATTTGTTTCCTGAGTCCACACAGCCCAGCTGGCTCACTTCTTCTGCCTCTGTAACCTTCTTTCTAAAAGGCCAGGGCAGCCCTAGTTGGTTTGGCTCAGTGGATAGAAGGGTCCCGGGTTTGATTCCGGTCAAGGGCACATGCCTGGTTGTGGGCTAGATTCCCAGGAGGGGGTGTGCAGGAGGCAGCCAATCAATGATTCTCTCTCATCATTGATGTTTCTATCTCTCTCTCCCTCTTCCTTCCTCTCTGATATCAATAAAAATATATTTAAAAACAACAACACTGTGTGGCTAGAGGCTGGCTATGCCCTAAGGACCACCGGAAAAAACAAACAAAAGGCCAGGGCAGCTCTCTGAGCAGCCCACTCAAACCTTCTCCTCGAGTATACTTTCACTTTGCATGCTACACAAACTTCCTTTTGCTCTAGAGCTCTTGGCTCTAAATTCTTTCTTTGCCAAACTCACGAACCAAGAGCCAACATTGCAGGTACCATGGCTATTGAATAGCTCCCAACAACCTCCTGGCTCTGAACTGTCCTTCTCCCGCAGTGCCATGGTGTTTCCCCCTCTTTGTCAGAGAAATGATGGAGAAGAGGATCCTTCTCTTTGGTCAAATGTTGGTACCAGGTGACACAGCTTGTTCTGAGAATGAAAAGGAAATCTCTTTAACTTGATGGGGCTGGAGCTGGAAGGTGGAGAACATGACTAGATGCAGGAGCTTTGGGCAAAGAAGAAAGAGAAAGAACTGAAGTGGAAGTCAGCACTCTTCCAAGAAAATCAGCCTCAGTCAGTGACTTTTGAACTTTTTTGGACTTGACTCACTTGTAACAAACATATTTGTGATTCAGCGCATGGGCACACACACTGAGCTGGAATAGAAGCTTCACAGAACAATCTAGCCCTTACTATGCACTCTATTCACACTCTAATATTTTCTCGCTGAGTCTACCCCATTCTTTAAGTGCTGCCACAGCCTCCGAAATTGACTTCTGAACTGTCCTGCTCCCTTCATTTATGCATCGTGTACATGCCATAAACCTACCCATTTGGTATTTTGTTGTTGTTGTTAATCCTCCCCTGAGAATATTTTTCCCATTGCTTTTCAAAGAAGGAAGGAAGGGAGGGAAGGAGGGAGGGAAGGAGGGAGAGGGAGAGAGAGAGAGAGAGAGAAACATGACGTGTGCAAGACACATCAACTGGTTGCCCCACACACACTCCCCCACTGGGCCAGGAGGGTACAGAGCCTCAGGTACTTGCCCTTGACTGGGAATCAAACCCAAGACCCTTTGGTGTGGGGGAGATGCTCTACCACTGGAGACACCAGCTAGGGCTGGGTTTTGAGGAAGAGGAAAAGAGGGTGTGTTCAGGCTGGGGCCCCCACCCCACTTCCCTGCCTTCCAGATCCCCAGAAAACCACCCTCTCTGGCTGCCCTTGGCACTCCCAGTCCAAGGCAAGAAGCACCAGGCTGGCAAGAAGGTCCCCTCTGCTTTGTGGAGGATGCCCCTCCAGGCCCACAGGTTGTGGGGGTTTTAGTTGCTCCCATTTTTTAAAAAGGGTAGGACTCACTGCTGCTCTACTTTTAAGATGCACAGCCTCCCTTTCCCAAGTCTGCAGAGGAGACTCAGCGGGCACAGCCTGCTGTGGGAGCCTGGGACCAGAGGTGCCTCTACGGCTTCTCTCTGCTCTGAGGGAGGCGGCTGCCAGGCCATTGGAGGTGCCGGCAGCGCCCTTCCCCCATGGTTCCCGCTGCCACTTATTTTGGGGTTTCTGTGTAAACCTAGTTACAGAAGATCTGGAAAACTCAGAGTTCAAAATAAACCACCAAGATTGCTCAGGATTTTTAAAAATACATATAAGCAAGACAAAATACCCAAAGCAAACATGAACCCTGACAGGATCCCAATTTTTAAAAAATTCCCTAACAGGCATTTGAGGACAATTGGGGAAATTAAATGATATCTAATTGATTTTTTTTTTAAGTTGTGATGGTATTGTGGTCATGTAGGAGATACACACCAAAGTGTCATAGTGTGCAGCTTGCTTTCAAATGCTTCATACAAAAGAATGTGTGTGTTTGTGTGCAAAGAGAGGAAGCAAAAGTGGCAAAATGTCAACAATAGGTGACTCTAGAACAGGAGTGGGCAAACTTTTTGACTCGAGGGCCACAATGGGTTCTTAAACTGGACCGGAGGGCCGGAACAAAAGCATGGATGGAGTGTTGGTGTGAACTAATATAAATTCAAAGTAAACATCATTACGTAAAAGGGTCCGGTCTTTTTTTTTTAGTTTTATTCATTTCAAACGGGCCGGATCCGGCCTGCGGGCTGTAGTTTGCCCACCCCTGCTCTAGAATGATGAAGGGTATAGCTGATCATTTTGTTATTGTCATTTCTTCAACTTTCCTCTAGGTTTGAAAACGTCCGGAATGAAATGATGGTGGTGGGAGTGAATTGTCAAAGACTTAGCTCAGTGAGTGGAGGACGCAGACAGCCTGGCTACAGCCCCAGGCTCTGTGGGTCAGAGGCTGCTGCCGAGGCACGGAGGCATGGCGATGGCCTTCTCCCTTCTTAGACGGAGAAGGGACAGGTGAGTGCACAGGGCCTGCGGCTGAGAGGTGGCTCCAAGGGAGGAGGAGGACTTGCGGGAAGGGCTTCCCAAGGCTGGAGTCTCTGGACGTAGAGCTCGGTCTCTTGGACCCACTAAGAGTCCAGGTGTGAAGAGGGAGGAGGACGGGAATCCCTGTTCGTTCCTGAGCTCTGAGGTGCCCCCATGATGGTTGCTGGGCAGTTGGGCAGAGCCTTTGGATCTCATTCAGCCCCACCAAGATTCGCTGCGCACCCGAGGTGTGCCAGGCACCATTCTGGTTGGGGAAAGTAAGCCGCTGCACTGCGTCCGCAGGAAGATGAGTAACTGAAGGGCTCCAGACGGAGGCCCCTGGGCTCAGCCCCAGCCGTCTGAGTTCCTGTGTTTGGGTTCGTTTGGACAGTGGTGATGGGCACGCCTACCCTGCTGCCCAGGGGCTGCTTTTGTGTAGGGTTGGGAATAAAAATAAAAATCTTGTTTTATTTACCCTTCACACAGATTTGGATTAGAAGCTATTTTTGTTGTCATGGATTTGCTCCCCGTGCCAGGGGAAGGCCCACGTGGAGTGTGGCTGCCTGCAGCCTGTTTTGTTCTGCGGGGGAAATGAATCGGAAAGTTAACTGTGACTCTTAGCTCTACATCCTGGGAGTTCTAGGCTTAGATGAAATCAGTTTCCTCCTTAGCTAGTGAGGAAGACCGATAATCTTCAAATTCCCTAGCAGCTCTCACATCCTGTGACTAATCAGCACCTGCTCTAACTGAAGCAAACCTCAGCTGATCTAAAACTCGCCCTGGTTGTCCCATTTCCGCTATTTCTAAGAAAGTAGTGAGCAGGTACGCATGAAGTACACAAAGAAGAATGAACATCCATGTGTTAAACAAAAAAATTAACTTCCTCTGCTGAAAGTCTTTAAAAGAAAGGGTTTATGAGGCCATTGCTGGCCGAAAAAGAGGGCCCTCATGGGACGCGGAGTCTAAGCCGCCAGCAGCATGGCCAGGCAGGAAAGATGACAAGCCCCCCCAGTCCCCACCCCCCTAAACCCCCACCGCCCTGAGCTTTGCAAGTGTTTTTATATGTCAAGGAGGGGAGAGAAGGATGTAAGCTGTTCTGAAAGGATTTACATTAGCTCGGGACCAAGGGGATGGGGGAGGGGCAGGGGCCCAGCTCAGGGGCAGGCCAGCACCCTCTGCAGCGAGGGCTGGAAGGAGCTAAACAAGAGAAGGCCCCAGGCTTCCGGGCACCTGGCTATTGTCCCTTTTTAGATCATCTCAGAAACAGCCACCTGGAAAAAGTTACTGTAATAATCGCATCAGACACTAAAGAGCGGGAGCAGTCCTTCGCTGGTTTTGCACTTCAGTTGTTAACTGATTAACTCCTGTAGAATGAATGAGCCACCCCCAAACTGTGCCTCAGTGGTATGAAGGTTTTAAGCTGGGGCAGCCGAGACCCTGCGGGCTGAAAAGGAACCTCTACTCCCCCCTTGAGTATCCAGAACAGCGGTTCTCAACCTGTGGGTCGCGACCCCTTTGGGGGTCGAATGACCCTTTCATAGGGGTCGCCTAAGACCATTGGAGAACACATATATAATTACATGTTGTTTTGTGATTAATCACTATGTTTTAATTATGTTCAATTTGTAATAATGAAAATACATCCTGCATATCAGATATTTACATTACGATTCATAACAGTAGCAAAATTACAGTTATGAAGTAGCAACGAAAATAATTTTATGTTACATTTGGCTGCTTGCTCTTGCTACTCTGTCTCATGTCTACTGATTATGAGATCAGCCAGAAGAACCTTGAGGGTAGGAGAAAGCTTGTTCCTCCCCCACTCCCCTTTTTCTCTTCCTTCCACCCCCGGGGCTTGCTATAATTTAATTTAAGGCCTTTCAGAATTTTCTCTTGGTCACATGCATAGACCTGAGTATAGTAAATCAAGTTCATAACAAATATGATTTGACACGTATCTGATCATAACAGAATTGTTACCGTGTTGTACAGCAATGAGGCAAAAACGTGCAGCGTGCCAAATGGCCTTTTTCAGCGCAACCTAACTCTTCATTTATTTTCCCAGTCACGGAATCAAGTCCAACACTGACCATTTTCTCGGATGCTGTGCACAGCGCAACAGCCTTCAGCACGGTCTAGAGGTGCCGAATGAGGTGCCAGCACCCTGGGGTCTAGTCCCTGGCGACCCCTTAGCAAGCGGTGTGACCTCGGAGCCTGTTTCTTCTTCTGGAGCATGAGGGGGTCGAGTGGAGCAGATGTGAGGACCCTCCAGCCCGAAGGACCAGAGCTTCCCCAGCAGCCCCGGCCATGCTCAGGGAGCTTCCACCTCCACCTTCCCTCACCCCGGCCCCTTATCTTGCACCCACACAACAGGCTGCGCGGGCCTGGGGGCCAAGGCCTAGCAATCAGCCCAGGAGCTGTGAGGCAGGCCCGGGGAGAGCACTGGATGGGGGCGGGGCAGAGGCCCCATGAACGGGCCTCCCAGAGAGAACAGGGTCTGGAACAGCCCCAGCAGGAGGCTTAGGGTGGAGGGGAGGGGAGGCCCTTCAGCCTGGGGTTTTAAAACCAGCTGAAGCAGGGCAACTTTCAGGACTAGTCTTGAGCAGTTTATATTTTATAAAATAGTCTTTATATTATTTTTCCATTAGAAACGAATCAGTTTTGCAAGATAAAAGGTTCTGGAGATCTGTTGCAAACCATGTGAATATACTAATGCTACTGAATTGTACACTTAACGATGGTTAAGATGGGACTTTTTAACCCTAATTTTTAAAAAAAGGCTGGGGGAGTCACAACCAAGCTTCACAAAAATTGGAAAGGCTGAAAAGTGACAAAAGACAACATCCAATCCCCCACATTAGGCAAAATAGAAATTGATCTAAGTGATCATGTGATTTAAAAGGTAATTGCGTGTGTGTGTGTGTGTGTGTGTGTGTGTGTGTGTGTGTAATAGAGAAATGTTCTGGTCCCAGACTCCAGTTGGACATGACATCACCCTACAGGTGTCAAAATTGAGCTTCTCGTCTGCCCAGGTCTGCACCAACCACATTACCATGGCCTCAGTAAGCGCCGCCCGTGACCAGATTGTCCAGGTGTGCCACATTCGGGAATCCTACCCCCTGGATCAGATTGTAAATCCCTGAGGTTGGCGACCAGACTTCCTGTACGTTGTCCATAATACTCAGCAGAGTGCGTGCTGTGCAACTGCGCCTGGTGAGTGACTGCGAGTGAGGAAATAGAATGGCAGAGCATCTGCAGGGCAGAAGGACTTCCCTCTCTGAAAGGAGGACCCAGGATATTGCGGTGGGAAACAAAGAGAAAGGTCAGAATGCCTCCCTAAACCGGGGCTTTCTCCCAGGAAAGTATAAATTCAGGTGGCGGTTTAAAAATATAGTCAGAATGGTTCACGACTGATTATGATCAACCAGTTCTTTGCCTGAATCCTTTCCCCGTCATTCCTCGCTGGTCTGGGTAGGAACTAGTTTTGTGTCTAGTTGTAGCCTTGGCCCTGAATGTTCCATTGCAGGGGCAGTGGGGGCGCGGTGGGAAGGCCAGAGCCCGTCCAGCCCTGCCTTCCCTTTGACAAGCCTAGAGGCTCTGGGTGGGTGGGCACTCTCTCTGCCGAACAGGTTTGCTAGGAAAGCAACGGAGATAATGCAGGTAATGACGCCTGCAAATCGCAAACTGCCAAACCAAAGCAATGCAAAGTTGTTTCTCCACTGCAGTAAAATGATAGCTATTTAGAGAGCTGCACCCTGTGGAAGCCGGGAGCCCACCCCTCCCAGCTGTCTCAGCTGTTCTCAGGAATTCTGTGGCAGCCACTCCCTCCCTTCTCAGCTGGCTCAGAGATCCAGAAAACAGCTCTCCCCACCCGCCCTAGAAGCTCGTCCCCCAATGCTTTGGCCCTTCCCTCCTGAAGTATATTTGTGACCAGCTCCCAAATAGAAGCTCCATGGCTCATTCGTTAAATCGGGCAGAAGCAAAGCAATCTGGTGCTGAGTCCGCGGTGCTCCAGGCAGGAGCCCTGGCTTTCTCCCCTGCATCTCACTTAATGATCCCCCCATCACACACACACACACACACACACACACACACACACCGCCCCCAGCAGGTAGTACCCACAGTTACAGGGGAGGAAGCCGAGTCTGAGAGAGGCCAAGAAACTTGTCCTGGCCACACATGCGGGCTCTAGCCTCTCCTTCTTCTTTTTAAAAAATTGTATTGTATTGTATTGTGGTCAGAACACTTAACACGAGATCTATTCTCTTAAGGAAGCATCCACTCTAAGCTTGTTGACTTACGTTGCACAGAGACCTCTGGAACTTACTCATCTTGCTCAGCGGAGACTTGATGCTTGCTGATTAGTGGATCCCCATTGTCTGGACCCTAATTTCTTTTTTTAGCATACAGCATAACTTTATTCTCTTCCACAACTGACAATATTAAGTAAAACAGCAATCACTCACATTTACATGGCACTCTATGGTTGAGAAATCCCTTTTACAAATATTTCATCATTTTCTCTAATAAAAACCCACCAAGATATTATTATTCTTGCCTTTTGATAGCTGAAATTGATTAGTGCACAGGAAATTTTATTTATTTATTGTTTGACTATTGAATATACCATTTATTTAGTACGTTGTACCTAGGATTATTATTATTATTATTAATTTTATTTTCTTGTTTAAAGTATTACAAATAGTAGTACATATGTCTCCTTTTTCCCCCATTGACCTTCCCCCGGCCTCCCCTACCCCCCTGCACATGTCCTTAACCCACCCCCCAGTGTCTTGTGTCCATTGGTTATGTTTATATGCGTGCATGTAAGTCCTTCGATTGATCTCTTACCCCCCTCCAACACTCCCCAGCCTTCCCACTGTAATCTGACAGTCTGTTCAATGCTTCTCTGCCTCTGTATCTGTCTGGACCCTAATTTCTTAAAGAAGCAGGGCTATATGTGTACTGACACAGTTCAACAGAACTTTTTAGCTGCAACAGAATTGATTGGAAACTGATGAACCAGAAAGAACCGTTTTATCCACTGCTCACCCCACGGGGGATGCACTGAGCCTCTGGCCTCGCTCCAAGGCCCTGGGAGAGGCCAAGACGTCTCCACCTTCTCACCTGGCTTCCACTCAACAGAACAGCTGGAGAAGTGGCACCTCAAGGGCTCCCGACTATTTTTATGTGGCCATCTGCCCTCCAGACCGGGCCTGGCAGGCAGCTACAAGCCCGAGGAATGCCACAGCAGGTGGGCGACGCCCCGACAGCTGACACCCAGCCCTGCTCCTGCCTGCTGTCCTGGGGACCCTGGAAGTGGGGTGTGAGGTGGCCAGAGGAGAGAGAACGCCTTTTACACGCCACCGTGTGACGTGATGTGTGTGCCCTTGACTCGCTGTCCGTCTCTAGAAGGAGCTGAGCTCTGCCCTGCCGTGGCCAGGGGAGCAGAGTGCGCCAGTCGGACGCATTGGCCAGCTGCTGACCTCAGTCACCCAGAGGAGAGGGCCTTGCAAATGCCCTGCAGAGACGGCGCCCCAAAGAAAGCCTGGGCCTCCGCTTGTCATAAGACCTGGGTGTCCCTGGAAGCTAGGCGTGGAGCAGTCAGGCCTGGGCAGGGCTGCCCTCAGATGTGTGGTTAGAGGCTGGGCGGGCTTCGTTCACAGTGTCCTGGGCAGGAGGAAGCATTAAAACCAATCAGTAAAACCCCCTTTTCATTATAGAACAGCGGTTCTCAACCTGTGGGTCGCGACCTCTTTGGGGGGGTCGAACGACCCTTTCACAGGGGTCGCCTGAGACCATCGGAAAACACATATATAATTACGTATTGTTTTTGTGATTAATCACTATGCTTTAATTATGTTCAATTTGTAACAATGAAAATACATCCTGCATATCAGATATTTACATTACGATTCATAACAGTAGCAAAATTACAGTTATGAAGTAGCAACGAAAATAATTTTATGGTTGGGGGTCACCACAACATGAGGAACTGTATTAAAGGGCCGTGTATTAATTAATTAGGAAGGTTGAGAACCACTGTTATAGAACGTTGTAAACATACACAAATCGGAGATGAGGATAATGAAACCCATGTATCCATCCCCCGGCTTCATGTACTTACATGAAACCATATCTTACATGATATGTGGAACCATATCTTACATGTGTGCAGCATACCTGTGTCCTAATAAAAGGAAAGAAAAAACACACAAAAACGGGTGTGTTTGTACCAGATTTACTGCTTTAATTTGTTCTTTTCAGGAAGCGATGGGAAGAGAAGCGGGTCAGATATACGTTGGTGTATAGTGAAGAGAGGATGTTGAATCCCTGTCACATCTTCCTTTTTCCTTAGGTAAAGGGTGTTTACTTCCAAGCACTGATGGATGCCTGCTGTGCGCCACGCCCCTTCCAGGCTGTGTGCTTGGATCATGGAACAGCACCCGCCAGCTCAGGAGGGCCAGGACGAGGTGGGTCGAGACGAGGTGGGTTGAGGTGCCTGGAGCCCTGGGCTGGCACTGGTGGGACGTTGAGGAAGGCAGTTAAATTCTACATTCTAGGCTTCCTCATGTGTAATCATGATAATGTTGATCTTAACTATTATTATGAAAACCAAATACAACGGTCTTTAAGCCACGGAAGTGTTTTGTAAGGACAAAATGGGACTTTTCCCAAGGCGGGATGGAAGGAGACGGGAGCTTGGAAACTCAGGGGTGTGATTCCTCAGCGATAAAGCTTTCCACCATACCGCCTCCTCCCATGGGGCCTCAGGAAAGTCTTGTTCCCACGGCACCCCAAGAAGCCCGCTTCCACTGGCAACAGGTGGGGATACGGGGGACACCCTACCAATGACAGAGAGGAGAATGAGAGCCTTCTGGTGTGGGGCCTCACACTGCCATTCCCACGAAAGCCAAGTTTCTCTGGGTGGGCATCTAATTCTCATGCTGAGAAGTTTTATATTGTATTTTAATTTAGATGATAACTCTACATATAACTCCGTATTGCAGTCCTCTGTATTTTGTGCTTATATTGCAATGTGCCAAATAGTCCTACTAAGAAAAGAGCAGAGGTGGACTTCCTTCATTTATTTTTTCCATTAATCAACAGACATTTATTGAGCATCTTCTGTGTGGAGAGGCTGGGTGCTGGCCGGTGACGGGATGGTGTCAAGAGAAGGCGGCTGCATGGAAAACAGGTTTGCAGTAGCCTGAAAAAGCCAAGGGCAGCGCTGAGCTCTCACAGACTCATTGCAGGATACGATGTAACCTAATTAGCTACACCATTGAATTAATGTTGTTAATTTGAATTTAGTGGCTTTTTTCCAGTTTGGTTTATATTTATAATGTAAATTTTTAAAATAGTTGTATAGATGCTATCAGCATAAAGCGTTCATATCTGAGTTTGTTTGTACATAGTATGTATTTAAATAATGTTACAATGAAAATAATAGAACTTCTTGGGGGGGGGGGTTAGAGAGCAACCAAAGGACTTGTATGCATGCATATTAGCGTAACAAATGGACACAGACACTGGGCAGTGGGGGCTTGCCCGGGGCAGGTGGGGGGGGTTGCTAATGGGCGGGGGGGGGAGGGACGGGGAGAGGAGACATATGTAAAACTTTAGACAATAAAAAGAAAATAGAACTTCTTGGGGGTTTTCCTCCCCTCCTACCTCTCACATAACTCTTCAGCAGTTTCACGTCTCTCCCTAACACAGGCACTTGCTAATATGCACACACGCATGCACAGCACGTGAGCACACACGTGCACACGATCAAGCTCACACTCCCAGGGCCTCCCTGTTCCCAGCGCCGCCCGGAGGCAGGCCGATCCTGCGGTCCTGCGTGTGAGGGTCCCCGGGTCCCAGGAAAGAGGAGCCTGGCGGGGGATCTCCCTGCCCTCACAGGTGTAGAGGTGGCTCCAGGAGGTCGCAGCAGGAGGCTAGGTGCAGCATCCCAGGGAGAAGATCCTCGGGAGACCCTCCCCTCCCCACTGCTGGCTCAGGGCCAGGTGCCTCGGGCCAGCTCTGCCCCCAGCAGCCTCCCCCGGTGGCACACCCCAGGACCCTCCTGAGCAGCCCTCTGAGCCGGGGCCCCCACAGTCAGCGACACGGCTCCCTGTGTTCTGCTCCTGCAGAAAGCTTGCGTCACTTAACGTGTCCGCCACACTGCAGAGACGGCAGGGGAAGCAGAAGACATTAATGACAGGCTTCCTTTAGGTTTGGGGTGGGGACAGGGTGCTCAGAGGAAGAGGGACTCCACACTGGCTGCTAGGGGACAGGGTGCGGAGGCCCCGCGCTCCCCGGGCGACTGGTGGGAGGATGGGAGCACCGGGGAGGGTGCTTTGGGGAAATAGATAGGATTTATTTTTTATCATCAAGAGCACAGAAGTAGGACCTGTGGGCAGAAGTTTTAGGGACCCAGACCAAACAAACAAACAAAAGCCCAAACTAACAAAACTGTCCCCAAGTGGAACGAGCGGCTTTTGTGAGGGTTGTCATCCCTGAGAGTGCTCATGCCGAGGGTTAGAGGGAGCCCAGGGGTGCTGTGTGGGGTGGGAGGTTTGAAATAAAGAGTAATAGACTGACAATCAGATTTAAAAAGCCACACTTCTTTAAATGTCCTGTATATTTTCACATGCACGCACACACACACACACACACACACACACACACGCATGTCGGGGTGAAGAAAGCTCCACTCTTTGCCCACATGAGCTTGTGGGCTGCTCTGAGAGTATGGAGCTTATGCAGCAGGAAGCTGGGTGCAGCATGCTCTGACCCTGGCCCCTCTCTGAAGGAGTCCCCTTGGGGTTGTACTGGTTTCAGGGTGTACAAAACTATGAGCCCCCAGATTGAGCCAGGTGTTTGTAATTATTTACATGAGTGTAGTTCCAGCTCCTTTATAGAAATTAGGATAATTGTAGCAAGAAACAGGAAGCCTGAAAGAGACAAGTGACAAAAAGGAGAGGGGATGCTACCCAAAGTTTTCTTTTTCCCCCCAGATTGATTTTAGAGAGAGAGGAAGGGAGGAAGGGGTGGGGAGAGATTGAGAGAGAGAGAGAGGAGAGAGAGAGAGAGAGAGAGAGAGAGAGAGAGAGAGAGAGAGAAACATTGATGTGTTGTTCCACTTATTCGTGCATTCATTGGTTGATCCTTGTATGTGCCCTGACTGGGGATGGAACCCACAACCTTGGTGTATCAGGACGACGCTCTAACCCACTGAGCTACCTGACCAAGGCCCAAAGTTTTCTTTACATATGAGTTGTTTATCACAGAGCAGTAGGAGCAGGAGACAGACGTCCTGAGTGGGAGCAGCACTCCTCAGATTAGGAGGCAGGTCACCGTCTGTGGCTGGTCCTGGGCTGTGAGCAGGCTGGGCCCTCCCTGGAGAAAGGCCACACTCCCGCAGGTGTAGGGCACTGAGGGAAGGGAACTCCATGTCCCCAGGTGGGCCACGCCAGGCAGGGCCAGGCCGTGGCTCTGTGAGAGGGGCAACTCTGAAGGGTGGACATGCCCACCTTAAGTCTCTGCGTAGGAAAAAAAGCAGGTGGAAGCTGCCCGTGTGAGGAGAAGGAGAGCTTCCCTTTGCAGAACCGGATCCCAGTTTTTCGGATTCTAGTCTGAAAAAGCCACAGCAATGTCACTGACTTGGGGCCTGGCAGCCCAGGTGGCAGAGGCCTTCCCCAGGGCTGGAGGAGAGGGGAACTGTGGAGAGCTGGAGATACCAGGCCGGCAAAGGCACTCTGTTTACATTTTTAAAAACGGTGCCGAGAAAACCTATCTGGGGGTGGAATTCCTGAACCACCTCATTTTGATCCTCACTTTATAGATGAAGGAGGAGAGTGCAGGGAAGTCTGTGCAGGCTGACTTTAACCAGTCTGTCCTTGGCCATGAGGTCATGGCTTTTAGAAGACCCCGTTCTAACACCTTAGCTCTTGCCAGGCCAGGACTTGGCGCCCTGCTCACGACAGAGGGTGACCTGAACCTAGCCCACACCGGACGTGTGGGGGCCACTGGTGAACACCGAGGTGCACCAGACCTGGGAGGTCACGAACCCCGAGCTCATAGGAACTATTTCGTGTTTTCTGAATCACGACCCAGAAGTCAATGAGGTGGAGCCCTGGAACTTGGCCCCCTCGAGGGCACAGAGAAAGACCCTGAACCCCGGGATCCTGGGAAGGGGCACCTGCCACCAGCTCGGACTGGGCTAACGACTCAGCTATTGGCGACGCCTAAACCCCCGCAGCGGCAGCGCCTTCTCCGCGGGGTGCGCCTGGCTCCGCGCGCAGCACAGCCGGGGGGACTGTGGCTGAAGCCAGCCCGCCGCCCCCCGTTACCTCCCCCCCCCCCCCCCCCAGCCGCGGGCCCAAGCCTCTGCTGAGCTCCGGGGCTAAATGCGGTTCCGGGGAGCTAAGATTAGCACCGCGAAGTGGCGCGTTTGGAACGCAGGGCGCCTAACGTGAACCGGAGGCGGGAGGGGCCGCACCTGCCGGGACCGTCCCCAAAGGGCGGGTCTCAGTCCCGCCGTTTCTTGGGCGGAGGCCCCGGAGGGCGCGCCCAGCCGGGGGGTCGGCGGCACCAGCCCTCGCGCCCTGTCCCCGCTGGCCCGGAGCCCGGAGCCTGGGGCCCCGCGAGCTTTTCAGAGTCTGGAGCCCCTCCCCCCCCCCCAGGCTGTCCCGTGCTCAGGAGCCCCCAGATTCCGGAGAGCCTCCTTTTGAATATATTTCCCCTCTCGAGGAGCGATGGCCCCTCCCCATTCTCCTTTCACACAACCCCCCATCCCCTAAAACGGGCTGGGCGCCCCTGGACACCGCGAGGAAGAGGAGGCGCCGCGGGAGCGCGGGTGAGTCACGGGGTGGGCAGTTCGGGGAAAATTCCTTTTTTGGAAGCGGCGGCCGCGGCCGGGAGGGGCTCCCCGGGAAGTGACGCGGGCGGGGCGGCGGGAGGCAGGGCGCTGCCTGGAGGCGCCGAGGCCCCGCTGAGCGAGCGCTTCTGGGGCGCGGACACCCGGGCTCGGCGCCCCGACGGGGCGGGCTCTCCGCGGGGCTCCTTATATAGCAGCCGCCGGGCAGGGGCGCCGGACAGCGCGGGGCGCACGGGGCCGCGGGCGCCACCCCTGGACCCACCGCCCAGGCGGGGCTTGGCCTGGGCGGTCACTCCCGGCTGCCCCCGGCCCGGCCGCTGGTTCCCTGGTTCCCGGCCCACTGCCCCCTGCCCCCTGCCCCCCCGCCCCCTGCCCGGGCCGCTGGTTCCCTGGTTCCCGGCCCACTGCCCCCTGACCCCTGCCCCCCCGTCCCCTCCCCCCGCCCCCCACCGCCCCCTGCCCGGGCCGCTGGTTCCCTGGTTCCCGGCCCACTGCCCCCTGCCCCCTGCCCCCCCCCGCCCCCTGCCCGGGCCGCTGGTTCCCTTGTTCCCGGCCCACTGCCCCCTGACCCTGCCCCCCCGTCCCCTCCCCCCGCCCCCCACCGCCCCCTGCCCGGGCCGCTGGTTCCCTGGTTCCCGGCCCACTGCCCCCTGACCCCTGGCCCCCACCCCCCCGCCCCCTGCCCGGGCCGCTGGTTCCCTGGTTCCCGGCCCACTGCCCACTGCTCCCGCCCACTGCCCACTGCCCACTGCCCACTGCCCCCGCCCACTGCCCTCTTCCCACTGCCCCCTGCCCACTGCCCCCCGCCCACTGCCCCCTTCCCCGGCCGCTGGTTCCCTGGTTCCCGGCCCTCTGCCCACTGCCCCCTGCCCACTGCCCCCGCCCACTGCCCACTGCCCCCGCCCACTGCCCTCTTCCCACTGCCCCCTGCCTACTGCCCCCCGCCCACTGCCCCCTGCCCGGGCCGCTGGTTCCCTGGTTCCCGGCCCCCTGCCCACTGCCCCCGCCCACTGCCCACTGCCCACTGCCCCCGCCCACTGCCCTCTTCCCACTGCCCCCCGCCCACTGCCCCCTGCCCGGACCGCTGGTTCCCTGGTTCCCGGCCCACTGCCCCAAGGAGGTAGTTTGCACACAGAGCCAGCTCAGGACTGGGGTGGACGCTGGCTCCGGATGCAGGGGGGCTCTGGGCTGAGTTTGAAGGGAGAAACCAGCTAGGCTCACTGGGGAAGGTCTGACAGGGGGCAGGAGCCGCAGAAATGGTTGGGGTGCAGGGAACCCCTAGGGTTCCGGGACAGCTTGTAGTGTCTTTACTGTGTGGGAGCTGTCAGCCAGCAAAGGAGAAAGGTATTTGTGGCAACATTTTTAAAATGTACTTTTTAATTGATTTCAGAGAGGAAGGGAGAGGGAGAGAGAGAGAGAAACATCAACGATGAGAGAATCACTGATTGGCTGCCTCCTGCACACCCCGCACTGGGGATCGAGCCTGCAACCTGGGCGTGGGCCTTGACTGGGCCTTGACTGGGAATCGAACTGTCACCTCCTGGTTCATAGGTTGGTTGATGCTCAACCACTGAGCCACGCCGGCAGGCCTGCGGCAACATTTCTTAATAGGAAACCCACAAATCTAAGCAGGGGTAGATTTGTTTCCTGGCATCTGCTACCCTTATTCTAGTAGCAGCACCCCCATTTCCTTGGGGAGCCCCATGTGGTTGGGGCTGGCCTTCCCTGTCTGCAGGATCGGGTGTGTGTCCCCAGCTGCAGTGACTGCAGTGAGGGGCCTGTGCAGGGGTTCCCTGGAGGCCGTCCAGAGCAGCCGACATCTTGCTTCCATGTGAGGAGGGCCTGCGGGAAGTGAGGCCAGCTCAGGGAAACGAGAGGAAGATTCCTGGCCACCCTGTGTGAGTGCCGGGTTGGCTGTGCCTGCAGCTCGCCCGCTGCTCTCCTGGCTGCCTCTGGGTTTAGGGAGGCCTCAGTCAGAGTTCTGTCATTTGTAACCAAGGGTCCCAGCTGAGAACACAGTGACATTAGGGAGTGAAGACAGGATCCACTAGCATCATGCATCAGGTCTAGGTGGGAAGTTGATTTTGTTTGTTTGCTTGTTTTTTAAGAAAAAGGCTGAAAGTGCTGCTTGAAGACCATCCTTGAGCTTTTGGGTCCCTTTGAGCTCACTCAGGACCCATGTTAAAACACACACACACCCACCGTCACATTTTCCAGCTCGTTATTCCTGCTGCACCAAGTACTAATAAAGACTTAAAAGTAATATTGCCCGGCCAGTGTGGTTCTGTGGCTGAGTATTGACCTATGAACCAGGAGGTTCGATTCCTGGTCAGGGCACTTGCACTTGAGTTGTGGGCTTGATCCCCACCCAGTAGGGGGTGTGCAGAAGGCAGCTGATCAATGATTCTCATTGATGTTTCTATCACCCTCTCCCTTCCTCTCTGAAATCAATAAAAATACATACATTTTTTAAGGTGATTATATTGTCTTGGCTGGCGTGACTCAGTGGTTAGAGCATCAGCCTGAGAACCAAAGGGTGAAGGGTTCGATTTGGTCAAGGGCATGTACCTGGGTTGCAGGTTCCCTGTCCCGGTTGGGGCACGTGGGAGAGGCAACCAATTGATGTGGCTCTCTCACATTGATGTTTCTCTCTCTCCCCCGCCTCCCCTCACTTCTACTCTCTCTAAAATCAATGGAAAAAAGTATCCTCCAGTGAGGATTAACCCCCCCCCCCCCCAAAAAAAGTGATTATATCTGTTAGCAAAAGATTTCTGGCTGAGTTTTGCTTCTAAATGAAAGTTTTGTTTTTTTGGAAGATGAAGGAGACACCAGAAAGTATTATACACATTAAAAGTAATTCTTGTGATTGGTTTATTGCAGGAGGTGAGGAGTCACAGGGGCCTAGTGCATGAGGCGTTGCTCCTTAGCCACCCAAGACATTCCTGCTCCTGGGTCCCTTCCTCCGCATATGGGGGCACCTACACCTCTCCTCCCGCTCCGGCATCTGCTTCACGGCCCCTTTCCTTTCACCTGGGTACCACTCCAGAGCAGAAGTGATGGACAGCCTACAAGTGCACGTGTGTATAATGCATAAGTGAACATAAGCATCTTCAAAATTCGTCATTTGCAAAGGAACAAGGCCTGCTGAGCTCCTCAAACTGCAACCCTATCCAATCGTGAATTTATGCCTGGAGCGCAACCCGGGAGAAGTCTGCTCTTCTGTGTCACCCAGCACTTGGAGCATGTGCTTGCCTACGTAGATGAGGAAGTGCCCGGCCACCTGGGCAGCATGGGACAGGACCCGCAGCATGCTCCTGCAACAGAAGGGACAGGGACACGCGTCAGGCCTGGAGGTCCGAGCCAGTGAAGAACAGATGGAGTGGGGATTTTTCACAACCCCTTTCCCCCAAACATGCGCTCAGAGTAGGCAATGCGCACACCTGCCCCCGCCCTCCCCGCCCCTCCTGCCTGGGCTAGCTTCATAGGACCCGGGAGGTTCGAGCAGGACCTGGAACTCTGCATTTCTGGTGAGCTCCCAGGGGATGCTGATGACACTGACCGGGACTACCCTTCCACTAGCCACTTCCCAATGTTGTTCAGCAGCTAGAAAGAGCTGAGTAGGCAGACTGAGAGCACACGTATGTCCTGTCCTTCAGCCACTTGCTTATTCTGGAGGCCTTGGGTGTGCGAAGGGGAGGGGGTGAGCAGGGGGGGTGAGATTTAAACTGCTGCATGACAGTGTGAACAGTGTAAACTTCAATGGGTACGGGTCAGGTCAGGACCTCTGAGGGGCTGGGCCTGGGAGTGCAGAGGAGCAAGTGGGGGACAGGCTGCCTGGGGACGGGTGGCGGGGACTGAGTCACGTGCAGTTTCCAGACCCCTCAGTTGACCCCGAAGTCTGTTACCTCACCAGGGCCTTGAGCCCTGTACACCGGAAGTCGTAGGACACTGAGTACATCTCATACATGGTGGCCTTCACGTTGAGGCAGCCGATGAAATCCTTGGGACTCAGCTTGTACAAGTCGAAGGTGACTCTTGCTATTCCTGATTTCTTCGGTTGCTGGTGGGCGGTGATGTAGTTAGTACTCTAGACAGTAAGGGAGGAAGACATGTAAGGAGCATCCCGCTATGACATGCACGTCCTATAATTCTGGTTTTATGCTAGTTTAGACTCTGTTGGTTTAAAATCTGGTAGTGACTAAGCTGCTAATTATTTGAGGAATGTGTTTAGCAGAGCAAAATGCTTATGTGGCTACCAGGTCCACACCCCTAAGTAAGTATCCTTCCTGAATCCGCTGAGTTTGGTGGCTCCGGATGACTGTGATTCGGCGGTGGGGCCTTGGTTTCAGGACCCAGACATCAATGAGTGGCTGTGCTGTTGACACATGGCATTGAGAGGCACTCACGCTCGTCACCGAGGGTGACCACAGTTACTTGTCTGACATGGACAGTCTCATGACTATGACACAGTCTGTTCAAAGAGAAGCAGGCAGCATTATTTCCATTTGATAAGAGGCTTCTGGGCAGAGTCTCAGAATCACATGGCCACCGTGAGGGGCAGTGTGAGAACTTTCCTAGGGTGCCCCCTCTTTTCCAGTAACCGCCCTGGGGGAAGCCTGACTTCCTGGGGAAAGTTGTTTGGTTACAGTATCCACGCGCAGTCTCCCCGAAACACCATAGACCCTTCAGGTTGGGAGGAGAAAGTGTTTATAAACAGCACTTCAATATGATCTTCCCCACCAAGAGCTTTGAAAAAAACACACAAGAGAACAGAGATGTCCCGGGGGACAAATGCCAGACCCAGGGGCTACGCTTCCTGTGGGTTTGCCCCTCATGTGGATCTTGCAGTGTTTAGGATTCAAATGTACATAAATCAATAGAGTTACCAAGTCGCGTGACCCTCCGGGGTTGGGAGTAGTTGAGGCTATGACTGTTAAGTTCATAATGACAATAATCTACTATATTTGAAGTTACAGCCAGTTCTCCTTGAAGTACTCAAACCCTTCCTGCTGGAGCTACTCTTTCCTCCCGCACAGAACACACACAGGGAGAGATCCTGGTTGTTGCCTAATGTTTCAGGCCCAAGAGGCCCTGCAGCCTCTTTACTTTAGGGGGTGCAAACTCTCCATCATTTAGGAAACATTTTAAAAAAACAAGATTACAGAATCAAAAGGAGTTTTCATCTATAATCCTGCCACAACTCTTTTTTATTGCCTTGTGTTCCTTCCTGCTATATGAAAGCTTTTATCTTACTTTCCCTAAATGTCTTCCTTGAGTCTTGGCCTTAAATCAGCATCAAGATGTGCTCACAAAGCTAATCCGCGTGTGACCTAACCCAGGGCCTGTGGAGCTCTGTGCTGCTGACCAAGGAAGGAGGAAATGACTGCCCCCTGACCGCTTCCTGAGCGAGCTTCACGCAGCTACTGCCTCACAGGCTTCGGGCATTCAGACTGAGGAAGGGAGTCCCCTGGTGGCTATTTCTGGGCGGAAAGTTCTATTGGCCTCACTGGTTAAAAAAACCCACTTCCACCTGGGGTAGGATGTATAATTGGCTGGAGGTGCACATTTCCACCCTGAGAGAAGATGGATGAAAAGTGGACGTCAAGAAAGGGCTCCAGCCCAGCCAGCGTGGCTCAGTGGTTGAGTGTTGACCTATGAACTAGGAGGTCACCTGCTCAGTTGCCTGTCAGGGCATATGACTGGGTTGTAGGCTGGATCCCCAGTGGGGGGCATGCAGGAGGCAGCCGATCAAGGATTCTCTCTCATCATTGATGTTTCTCTCTCTCTCCCTTTCCCTTCCTCTCTGAAATCATTAAAAATTTATTTAAAAAAGAATGATGCTTTAAAAAAAGATGCAACAGTACAATCTATATTTTAAAAAAAGAAGAAGAAAGAGAAGACTCCAACCCAAGCTCACATGTCACCCAGGCCACTAGTAGACTGAGCGGCTTCAGGCCTCTCCTTGAACCGTCATTATTTGTATCCCACACACTCCATCACCGCCCTATACTTTAGCTCGGCATCCCAGCCATCACCCACTCTGGGGCTTCATCGTAGAGGCTGTCCTGTGCATGTAGAATATTTAGCCGCATCTCTAGTCTCTGCCCACTAGATGCCATTAGTCTACCACTGCCCCAGTCGTAAACACCAAAAGAGCTTTCAAACATTTCCTAATGTCCCCTGAGCGGCAACATACACCCCGGTTGAGAACCCCTGATTGATGAGTATCTATAGGTTCTATTGATATAAGAAACAAAGCTGTTTGGGTCTTCATTAATTTTTAAGAGTGGAAAGAAAGATAAGAATGTATGTTTCCGCTCAACATAGTTGATGAGATTTATCCACATAGATGTCTGGAGCTGTACTTCATGCATTTTCCCAGCAGAAGAGTATTCCCGCTGATGATTATACAACAGTGTGTTTATTTTTATTTATTTATTTTTAAAAATATTTTTTATTGATTTCAGAGATAAGGGGAGAGGGAGAGAGAGAGGTAGAAACATCAGTGATGAGAGAGAATCATTGAATGGTTGCCTCCTGCATGCTCCCCCACTGGGGATTGAGCTTGAAACCCAGGCATGTGCCCTGACCAGGAATTGAACTGTGACCTCCTGCTTCATAGATAGATGCTAACCACGGAGATTGCTGGCTGGGCCAACAGGATGTTTATTTATGTGTATTTACATGGAAGCACATGCTGGGTATCCTGTGCTGGGTTATGTCTAGGAACGGACCTACTCAGTTCAACTCCATGGGATAAAGGCAAGTTGTCTTAAATAGTAGTTGGTGGGAGCATGCGAGAGTTCATTGTTCCATATCTTAAAAATGGGAAAGGTGTAAAAGCCTAACAATACCAAATCTAATAACGGTGTAAAAAGTATCTTATTGTGGTCTTAACTGTTCCTAGTCACCCATGAGGCTGCATATTTCCCTGTGTTTTGTTGTCCATTTATTGTGCAGATGCCTGTCCCTGTCTCTGCCCATTTTTCTGGTGGACTGTCTATTGTTCCCATTACTGATTTGTGTGAGTCCTTTACATTCGTGGAATACGAATTCTTTGTCGGGTTGTCTTGGAAACACCTTCTCCCCACTTGTGGCTTATTGTTTTACTTCCTTTATAGTACCTTTTGATAAAAAGAATTCTGGACGGAGTTGAATTTATCATTTTAAAAAATGGTTTGTCTGTTGTGTTTTGTTTTTAAAAAACTATCACACTGAGAGTGCCAAGTAGGCATATATTAGATCTTCTCAGTCACATCTCCAACTGCTTTCCAGTTTTCTACTCTCTTTGTGTTACATCATAGGCACCTTCTTTAGACATACCTTCCAGGTCCTGTCTGAGTTTTCATTTACTTGAATTGCTATCTTTTTTGTTTCTAGAAATTGTATTTATTCTTCCAAGTCTATCTAGTTTTTAAAAATTCCTTCTTGTTCCTCATTACTGTAGATTACTTTTTATATCTTTTTGAACATTTTAAGTGTAGTTATTTACACTGTCTCTGATGATCCCATATCTGAGGTTTTGCAGGCCTGACTTTGTTATTTCTGCGTCCTCTCATATTTGGTGCCCGGAGTCCTCATGTCTTGTGTTTTACTGTAAATTCACGTTTGTTGGAACTTTAGGAACAAAGATTCCCTGAGGCCTCGGTCAATGTCCATTCTGAGCCTATTTGCTCCTCCTGGTTACCTGGGGCACAGCAACCCTGGGACACTAGGACTGCCGGGAGAGGCTGTTTGAATGAAGAGAATTTAATGAGTAAACTCCTGCCTCTGATGCTTCCTCCCTGGGTCTCTGTAAACTAAACTTTCGGCTTGGGTGGTTTTAGACCAGGGGTGGGCAAACTTTTTTTTTTTTTTTCCCTAATACAATTTAACTTTATTTTCTCTTTCAGTCTTTCCTAAAAGTTGAGTACAATTGATCTAATTTTACATTACTTAGGGTACAGAAGAGCCTGTGGTGTGGGCAAACTTTTTGACTCGAGGGCCACAATGGGTTCTTAAACTGGACCGGAGGGCTGGGACAAAAGCATGGATGGAGTGTTTGTGTGAACTAATATAAATTCAAAGTAAACATCATTACATAAAAGGGTACGGTCTTTTTTTTTTTTTTTTAGTTTTATTCATTTCAAACAGGCCGGATCCGGCCCGCGGGCCGTAGTTTGCCCACGGCTGTTTTAGAATCAATAGTCCCTATAAGCTGTAAGGACAGCTGTCTGCCAGACTCTCAGGAGAGACGGTTACATTCTCTGCTTTCTGTGGGCATCTCTAATCTGACTCCCTTTCTGTTACCCCCCAGACCTTGTTTCCTGTCCTCTCAGCAGCTATCAAAACTGAAGCCCTGAGTCACTGAGGTCAGTGGAGGCCCACAGGTGAGATGCCTGCAGGGGAGAGCCAGCTTCTGTGCTTGCTTTCCCGTCTGGATTCTGGCTCCATAAAAAATTTGGCCTCGGAGGATGTGCCTTTCTTGAAGGACATTTAGGCATATAAAAAGATGTTTTCATATTTGCTTTACATTTTTAGTGGGAGGGTTTTCCAAGACATATAATCTATAGTTTTCCCAGAAATAGAAAACTATTCTATATCTTAACTTTTCTAAATCACTGTAGCCACACACACACACACACACACACACATACACACACACACACCCCTAATTTCATTGGCTTGCTGGCCTCCTAAGGACAGAGACAGTGAATGGTCACTGGGTCATATCTACAGGCTTTAATAGGATCGTAGCTACTTGCTTCCCAAAGCTTGTCCCTCAGAATTATTTGCTTTGAGTCAAACAACCCATGTTCACAAAGATGCTACATTTCCTAGAAATATCCTATATAATAAAAGGCTAATATGCAAATTGACCAAACAGTGGAATGACTAGTTGCTATGATGCACACTGACCACCAGGGGGCAGAATATCAACACAGGAGCTTCCCCCTGGTGATCAGTGCACTCCCACAGGGGTAGAGCCGCTCAGCCAGAAGCCGGGCTCACCACCTCTGCAGCAGTGCTAAGGATGTCCAGCTGCCAGAGCGGGCCTAAGCCCTCAGCTGGACATCCCTGGGGGCTCCCAGACTGCGAGAGGTTGCAAGCCAGGCTGAGGGACTCCCCCCTCCCCTCCAAGTGCACAAATTTTGTGCACCCGGCCTCTAGTTTATAAGAATCTCTTCAAGGGCAGTAGATCCAGTTATTAGGGGAGTATAAAGGGTCTATTTTAAAAGTGGGCAAATCAACACCGAAATAGGGAATTCACTTTTGTAGGTAAGAAGTCTACCCAGTAGCTGGATAGAGTGCGTTTGCTTACCGGTGTCCACTTCTGTCCTTTCTCCAAGATCATGAAGTGTGTGTTATCGCCTAAGGTCTGAAAAAACTCTTCCGTGTCCACCACGGTGCCGTCCTCCTCCAGCACCAGAGTGACCAGCCCGCTGGTGATGAGCAGGGCGTCCAGGGTCTGGGGGGCGGGGGGGGGGGGCAACACATCAGAGACACAGAATGAGCAGGGGATTCCGTTTTGACCGTTCACAGCCATGGCTTACATGATAATTTCAGCAGAGCTGGCTGGTTTTGATAAAATGCTAATGGTCAAGATAGACCTTCATGGGGTCTATGATTCAGTCCTGGCTTGGAAAAAGAGACGTTAAGATTTTTAAGGGAACTATCCTCTTCAGAGATTTCAATGACATGAGATACATGATTACATTTCATAATATTTATAGTTTCTAAAATTACCTACTTATTTTGACAAATAAAAAGAATAACCTTGCGCCTATGATAATTAAGGAGCTTCAGTCTTGTGTGGCATATCTGAATGTCTCTCTTAGAGCCTGCATGTTGGATGCTTTCCTCATGTGCACGGGCGCCTGTGTCTAGGTTAAGCCTCCATGCGAATCTTCCTTATTTGGCGATCTAGGTCATTAGATTCTTCCCTGGCTTTTATAATAAAAAACAGATTTCCAAAGTCTGCTGCTTCCCTATATTTTCTCTTGTCAAGTAAATAAAGCTACATTATCCACTGATGGCTGTTTTTAAGGTTTTTGTCTCTGTGCCTAAATCTCTTGTGGTACAAAGATGCAATAATGTTTCCTTTCATCTTTTCACTTAGAAATGGTCCCCCTCCTCCCCCCCGCTTAGGCTTTCCAAGGCCAGGACATGGACATTTCTGTCTCTGCACTGGCTTAGTAGCCAAGAGCCTGGGCCTTCTGAGCCCTGGTGGGAGGCACAGCGCTGGTGGTACCTTGCTGAGCAGATCCTTCAGGTTGCTTGCCATCACTCCCCGCCGGCTGCTCCGGTTGTGGTTGGAGACTCGGAAGGGGCGAGGGGACTGCATGAGGGGAGTGAGTAGGACTTTCTTGGTTTGTGAACCCATGAAAGTCAGGGGCCTGGAAATGGAGAAGAAAATTAAAATTGACATCACTTTTTCAAAGAGTCTCTGAAGAGACACACACCCACAGAGTCATTTATTTATCTATGTTTTATTTTCCCAACTAGATTGGCATTTCTTTATGGACAAGGCCTTCTTTGTTGCATCTCCCATAATGCCTAGCTTAGTGTGAGGCATACAATTTGTACGTAGTATATTGTCTAAACTGAAGTTCTATAAATGAACATAAGTGGAAGTTCAATGACGCACCAAGGAATTTGCTCAATGAAAAACTGGTTGTATCGTAAGGAACCAGCTTTCAAATGTTGTTAGTTAAGTTCCTGCTACCAGCAGTCTCAGGAGGGGCCTCTGACAGTGAGTGTCTGTGCTTCATCCCGATGCCTCATCGACAACCTGGCGTTCTGGGAACAGCCTGGATTATTAGCAAGTATTGGGCCTGCAATATATTCAGCCAGCATCACTTTAGTGCCTCATTAGTGCTCGTATCTGAGCACCTGCTAAGTATTACCCACTTCTCAGATGAGAAAACCGAGGCTCAGAGTGGCTTCTCAGGGGCCTCCAGTTATAAAGGAAAAGAGGTGGGATGTCATCTCTCTGGACTTCAAACCTCAGGCACTAAGCATCAGTCGGAAGCATGAGAGGAAGAGCTGCTTCATGGCTGGAGGGAGGCAGGGTTCCCAGTTCGCACCCTCAGCCCCTTTCCCTTTAGGCCACCAGAGCCTCTGCACCCTCTGTTTCCAGGGAGGCAACTGCGAGGGATGGTGCCAGGTCAGGGTCGCCAGTGGGGGCTCCCAGCGGAAGGACCAGAGCCCCTGAGTGAATGCGAGCCCGACCCAGGCAGCAGTGGGCCTGGCACCAGCCTCTGAACCTTTGCCCCGATTCTCAGGAGTTAAACCAGGTCCCTGGGTTACGCAACACGATGAACAACACGCCCGCATTCTGCTGAGCTGATGCTACAGAGGGTTTGCTCACAGTCTCATCCCTGCTGAGCCGGTGGGCAGGGCAGCGAGGATGATCCATATTGTGCTTTACACTTAGAGCCTGGCTTTCTTCTCAACCTAAACCTTGCACCTGAGACTTAAACTCACTGGCTAAGTCCCTGTGAGGAGGAGGAGAGAGAAAGATACAAGTTCCACTCTGTGCCAAATACTATATACCTTAGCGCATTGCCTAAGAACTACAGGACAAGCATTACAGGTGAGGAAAACGGAGGCTCAGGACATTAAAGAATTAGTAAGATCAGCCCGGCCCGCGTGGCTCAGTGGTTGACCTATGAACCAGGAGGTCACGGTTCAATTCCTGGTCAGGGCACATGCCCAGGCTCCAGGCTCAGTTTCCATGGGGCGGGGGGGGGGGGGGGGGGGCAGGCAGGAGGCAGCCGATCAATGATTCTCTCTCATCATTGATGTTTCTATCTCTCTCTTTCCTTTCTGAAATCAATAAAAATATATTTTAAGAAAGAAATTAATAAGATCAGAATTGGCAAGTGCTGGCACAGGGCTTCAAATCCAGCTGCCGCTTTCGCACCATGGTGTCTGCCCTGCCAAGCGCAAACCCTCCTACAGCAGAGGGGAGCCCTGGATCCCCACTGGCAAGCTTCTCCCCCAAAGTGACGAGTCATTGCCATTGCCCACGAGGACTTCTAGAATCTATGCCAACTGAGACCAGGGTCTATTTGTACATTTTTTATTTCCCCACAGCACCTCCCCCCCTGCTGACACATGACCTAGTCACTGAGTGAAAGATAGGCTGGGACAAAATCAGAGAAATGGAAGAACAAAGTTCATGTCTTGGATGTTAGGTCCAGGCCCTGGTGGTCAATGTCATGTCTTGTGGGCACGAACAGCTTCTATATATATATATTATTGATTTTTTACAGAGAAGAAGGGAGAGGGATAGAGAGTTAGAAACATCGATGAGAGAGAAACATCGATCAGCTGCCTCCTGCACACCCCCTACTGGGGATGTGCCTGCAACCAAGGTACATGCCCTTGACCGGAATCAAACCTGGGACCCTTCAGTCCTCAGGCTGACGCTCTATCCACTGAGCCAAACCGGTTAGGGCCACGGACAGCTTTGACCTAGTTGCTGTGGTCCCCTATCTCCCCATAGGACACAAACGCTCACACCTTAGTAAGCACCGATGCGCCAGGGGCCTAGCACAGCTGATTATACAAAGTTCTTATTTCCCTCTAACTTCTGACAAGGCAAGAACCGGCAGTCACTTCTGGTCCTCCCTCTTCACACTGCCCTCAAGAGAGTCATCCTTGATTTTGTAAAACAACATACAGGCTAGTGTTCTTCTTACCTGTTACACAAGAACTGGGTCGTTATTGGAGAAAAGGCTTAGAGAGCACACATAAAAAATTTTTGAAGACATGAAAATTAAATCCTTCCCTTCTTTTCAAGGAACCGGATGAGTGATTTGATGTGCCAACTTACCTAAAAATCAAGACTGCCTTATATACAACGTAAAAAGGGGTTAAATGAAATGTTACACACATTCAACCTATTTAACAAATACTACACAATTGCTTACCTGCTGCAGCTAAATGGACAGCAGGGCGACGAGCTACCACATGAGCAAAGAAATTCAGGGCGGGGCAAAGGTAGGTTTACAGTTGTGAGCACGGGAAACAGAGTGTATTCTTGCATTATTATTTATTGTTGTATTATTTTCCATACAAACAATTACAACCCCTTTATCCCCACCCTGTATATTAACCTAACTCACTTTTGGTTCTCTTTCAGTCGAATAATTTATGTCACTGACCATTAACACGAGGCCTAAAATATGTTGCCACCTCCCCCTCAATTTCTTAATATATCAATGTTGAAACGGGAGCACTAGAAGTCTTAGAATTCTGCTCTTAGGTACAGCACGCCTCAGTCGCCTCGAACTCCTGGGAAAGGGCAGGCAATCACAGGAAGCAGGAAGGGAAACAGTGTACTAGAAGGAAAGAAACACACAAGGAAATAGGCTTTGCTGTTCAAGGAAATAGATCATTTCGGAGAAATCAAGTCAATAAGAGAAGCCAGACTTCATAGAATTAATCTTGAAAACTGTGAAGGGACATATCTTTCAGAAATGAGGAAAACAGAGTCTTTGGATTTTTCCTCAAGGGAACTGAACTGAGGAGTCCCCAACGTACATAAGTGTGTGAAATAAAGCAACAAACACACTGACAATGGAGGTGAACTCTACTCCAGTAAAAAAAGCTAAACCCCACAGGCCCCAAGAAAGAGCCTTTATCTGGCACCCCATTGATTGATGTTCATGCTGAAAGTGCCGGAGGAGAAGGCGGGCCCAGGAACAAGGTTTCTCACAGCCAGAGAGAGACATGTTGGTGTCAGCCGTGCTGAGGGTAAGACACTGCCCAGGAACGATTCTGAGTGAAACAATGACGGAGGGAACCCCACACGTCACTGCTAGGTGGAAAAAGAGGAATCCAGATGAGGTAATAAAGCACAGACAGGGGTGGGATATAAGTCAGCTGAGCACTGCCGCCAAAGCCAATGGTAAGAAGGGAAGTATTGATGGCAAATATAGG